TATTTATAAATAGATTTTTAGAATATTTAGGTCATCAACTGATCTTTCTAGGATACATGTACAACAATAACATACCATGATAACCCACTGTGTACTACAAAATGATAAATAAAAAACCCCGAAGAGCGTGATTTATTGACGGAAAAGGTTATTTCATTTGAAAATGTTTGCATTGCGAAATTCTCCAGTTCGCAATTCATTGTAACATATCGCGACATTTCATTCTTAATTAATAATCAAGCACCCTCATAACGATCGGAATGATCGGCTTTTATTATGACTGACTAAAAGGCTCGAGAAGTTGCTGTCGCCCTTTCACAAAATCTGATTTCATTCCATAAGGGCGCCGCGCTTCGGCGCGGACGCCAATAAGAACACTCACATAGATTTTGTTTTAAATATTTCAAAATATGGCTTTGATAATCATGATAATAATTTCTGAATGATTTCATATTATACAAAAAAATGAAATAGCAACAACAAAGGAAAAGAAACGGATGATGAAAATCATGACCTTTATTGGTCTGTTGCATGCTTATTTAAACGGAAACTTCAAAGGATAATGTTATTTATTTTAATTGCAGACTTGGAGGCACCTTTGTTACACTGTTCTCTGGTAGAGCATTGATTAAAAACTTCAGTTTTCAGTTATACTAACGATTAATTCATGACCTGCAATTAATTCCTGACTCATTGTTATAACATAATCAATAAACAAATTGTTCTTCTAAGGTAGTCCTAGCACCATCTATATATTGATGTTGTTCCAGTTAATTTTCCTCTGATGTTTTTACAAGTTTTGATTTACTTACAATTCTGCATAATATCTTAGGAGCCAGGATTCCGGTGCTGAATATTGGTTTTATCATAATTAGATCTGCTATTTCTCAATTATTGTTTTTCACAAACTTGATCTCTTATAATATTTTGCAGGAAAAGTTGTTGCTCTTTTGTAATTTTCAAGCAATTTCAAGTGCACGCAACACACCTGTTATTGATTATGATATAAGTTTTGTTTTGATTACTTTTGCTGAATTTTATCTTTTATATAATCAGAATGAAGATTACAGTAAAGGATAAATTAAGCTGATATTTATATCAGTACACCATGAGAGAAACAATGGTAAAGTTACTTGTTGTATTGTAGGCAAACAAATATTAGCATTTCCAAAAATGCTAGAAATCGCCGTTCAGCTGGGTATTCAAAAATACTTTTTTTGTGAAATAGACTCCTTCCTAAACATTTAAATCTATAGGTACATGAAAATAGCATTTCAATTCTATCTATAGGTAGCTTGACAAAAAACATGGCGGATGGTGTGCCCCTTTTTGAGGTCTTTTTTGTCCTTTTTGTTATAATTTTGAATTAAATTCACTGTTTAAATTGGTTTAGGGCAGGCAGTGTATAGGTGGAAATGGTCAAATGTTGTTCATTGTTTATACATGTATGTTGCCATCCAGGATCAGGGAGAAAAAGTCAGGAATGGCAATGATCTTATAAGATTTGACCAAATATTGATGAATACATGTAAATCTGAACATTGATTACAAATAATTGGCTACTCATATAAATGGATGAATGATGTTACTATTTGATTCGCTCCCCTATATGGTCCTGTATAGTATAGCTATTGAATTTCCTGTCAGTCAGATTAATAATTGATTCCCTTAATGTGATGTTATTACAGGGTTTTTAGTAGTTTGTTGACTATCAGACCGTAGTATTGGTATATAGATGATGCCAAACTATCTTGTTGGTTGACCTTTATTCAGAATATTCATGAAGACCTGTCCTGTTTAAAATACAAGGCTGGTTTAAAGCTGCGTGTCTCCAGATCAAGCTGGAAAAAATGTACTAAGATTTTAGGAAAAGTAAAAAGGTTCAAGATTTAAATAATAATTTGTAAGTTATCTGCAATTAAGGATGGGATTTCTCAGTATTTATAACAATATTTCTACAACGTTAAGGCTGTTTTTGATTATTTTGACCTTATTTTGGTAATTTACATGGGTTGTGAGCTCTTTGTTATGTGCAAATTGCTTCCTTTAGGTAACTTCACTATATTTTACTTTTTAAATACATTTTCAAACTTTTCATAAAAATTAGCATGAATCTGGAGGCGTGCTGCTTTAAGGGACATTTTATTCTTTAGAGAATATGCAGGTTTACATGGATGACCGCACTAACACTATAACTGTGTATCTCCTATTTAGAAATATGATGCAGAAAACATTGTGATCGTTTTGGGCATCGATTAACTAAATAAAACAACAACAACAAAAAAACTTAATGCAAATTAACAATCTATAAAATTTGTTATTGCCATATTTTGACAATAAGATTTCAAGAACATGCTGGCATCCTTTTTTTCCTGCTTGTGTATTATGGATTTTTATTACACTATTCATGCATCCATTGAGACTGAAACAAATACACAATTAATGGATCTCTCCCAATAAAAGTATCATGAGCTTTTATTTAAATAATATATGAACAGTGAAAGAAGTTTAGTCAAGTTGGAGACAGAAAGCTGTGGTAATATACTGTATTGTAACTTAAATAAAATGAGATTTCTACAATAGTAAAAGTTTGGGGAATATATAGTTTAGTGAAATGATGTTGATGATATAATACAGAGCCTTGAAATAATTTTGATTTTGACTGCGGTCACTATTTTTAACATTTTTGATATATACAGTAAATTACTAAAGTTTTATATAGCTTTCCTGTAGTAAAATTTAATAGACAAGTCCCTTAGTGAAATACTAATGTAATAACATTTAATTAGTCATATTAAGCTATGATTTAGCATGTAATCCATGCATATAATATATATAAGACTGGATGTACAACTACAAGTATTAAGTAAGTCATGAGACTTTTTGGATATCCTAGGAATATAATTATTCTATAAGGTTAATTGCCAGTAGAAAACAGGACACCAGACTTAAAAAAAAAATTGACAAGAAAAACAAAATCCTAATCTTCATCACATTTTTTCTTGGCCTTATTTTTGCTCCTCCTTCAGTTTAGCTGTTCTGTTGATGATAAAACCTTCAATGGGACCAAACTGATCTATTATAGGAAACTCAGATGGTTACATGAGCTCTTGACATTTAATATAACATCATCTAATTAACCATTGATCAGGCTAGAATTGCTTTGTCAAGTATTTTCAGGCAACATTCAGGTAAATATTCCTGCAACATCCAATTATAGCTCCTGTCCAAGAAGATGATCACTAAATCCAAAAATCTGTCAGTTTGATGTTTTAGAATTACTTGATACATAGTAACTATTCCAATGTGAAGGGCCGGCAAAATCTGATTTTGACTTACTTGTTCATTTTAATGTGAAGCATTTTTTACTTGTCCATATGATATTTACATAGATAATTCTTGAAAATTTTTACTTGTCCATAAAGGCTGTGGGACAACCTGGGCATTATAGACAATTGATTTGTCCACCCCTGATGTGTTGTTTTCATCTCACCAAAAACACAACATGCTCAACATGTGCTTATATGATCAACTAATGTGATCACTCTCAGTGTCCCTTGTTTGTCTCTCTTTACATTGCCAATCTGTCACTTTCACTGTCCACACTTCTTTTCAACAACATTTCTTTGCACTTGGCCAGTATAATGGAAACTTCATAGGGATATGTCCCTTGGTCGAACCTCCTTCAAAGTGTCCTACTCATTCCGTAAAATTTATTAAGATGAAATTCTTTATATAAATGAAAAGATTTTAAATAAAAAATTGACCAAGTTTAAACTAAAATTGTTAAAAAATCCTGTTTCATGTACTGAAGTAGTTAACTCAGCTGAGCTCATATTTGAGAGTGGTTCTGTGTTTTAGCGTTAATCGGGCTTCATTTTTCTGTCCAATAATTGACATAATTAGACTTATTCTCAAATTGTATTTGTTGTTGATTACATCATAATCTATCAGTAATGAGAAATGTGTTGTATTTATCATGGTATTAAATACATTCCTGAAATAGTGATTGCAACAGTCTCATTAATTTTTTATGGCATTTTACTTTTTTTCCCTCCCCATTTGAATGTTAAGTGAATAGAATTTTTTTTAAATCATTGTAATTTGTTATACATATTCTCTGATGCACAATTTTATACTGTGAAACATAAATATTGAAATTAACCAGACCATTTCTGTTGTTATAATTATAGAACTCCATTTCATTCTAGAATTGCATTGTTAAAATGCTACATTTCATTGTTATTCACAGTTAATCATATATTCTAAGCAGATTTTGTTTTTAGAATTCAATTGAATATTAATGAATGAGGTGTTATTACACTCCACAAAACCCTTGCGGAAAAATTAAATGGAGGGCTTATTTGCTTGAAAACATTTTAGCAGTTTTGGTGATGGTTTTAAACTCTAAGGCATTGGCTTGTCTTCTTAGCTATTTCTTGTATATAGAATATGCTTCCATGAAAGAAATTACAAAGTATCAGCACTGTCTATTCTATTTATAAACATAACTAGTTCTAATTAACTTCTTTCTTATATTACACCTGGGAATAAAGTTTGCTTTCTTTTTATGGTAGTGATAACATGGAAATGTCACTGTTTCTAAGCAACTATTGTAGATACTAAAAATTCTCCTAATTGAGGGATTACCACTGTTTGTTCCAAGAGGTTGAGAGATCAAATATCTCTTATATAAAATGGCTCACAGTAAATACAGCTGGGGTCTTATTTCTTTATTATTATAGACAATTTCTCTCAGATTGTCACTGTAATGAAATTACAGACTCAGCTCAGCAGTATTTGCACAGTGCCAAAAGTTATTAATCCTGGGACAGGATACATGTGAAATACACACCCTGGCAATGTTGAAACATACAGAAATTATGACTTGATATCATGCAATAATATTATGAAAAAGTCATATGGTCAAACAAAGTCATAAGTGGGTAAAGATCTTTTAAAAAGCTTAATTAATTTGTATGATTGTATTGTATTTACAGAGACTGGACATGACCCAGCTGTTCATGGTGCTAGACTTGAAGACAGGTTCTATAACAATGACTCCTTTAAGGTATGCATATTATATAGTATCAATTTGCAGTTGTTTATTTGTTAGTCAGTGCCTCATATTCTAAATGTTATTTTAACATTGCATCTTTTTTTTTCTGTATTTATAAAGAAATGACCATGCGATTTCCCAAAGATCAGGACTTCGATAAAATACTTTTGTTATACAATATATTTGGTTATGAAATATAAAAAGTAAGTTAAGCTTGCAGAAAAGGTTTGTTTTATCTAAATATCAGGATAGGATAAAATCAAACCATAAAAACAATTAAGTTATTGTCATATTGATGCTGAAATAACATTTATTCTATCTCTTTAAAGTCCCCATCAGTTGATGCCAATTCACCACAGCAACAGGAAGCTGCCCTCAAAATTCAAACAAATTACCGTAAACATGACGCAGAACAGAAAGTGGCTGCCATGAAAGAGGAAGAAGCTGCGGAGAAAATTCAGGCAGGTTTCCGTGGTTTCCAGGAACGCCAACAGTTTTCAGAATCAAAGTAAATATAGATCAGTTTAGCTTTTAAAAGCACAGCATTTTACTTTTAATTAATTTAAATTCTATTCAAAATTATTTGATGGAAAAAAGATGTTACATGAAAATTTTCTAAGATATTTTTGTAAGAATTTAGAGACAGCTCAGGAATTAAACAAAATCAGTCTGCAAAAGAAAACAATCTCCCTCCACCGCAAACACAGACAAAAGAAAAACTATCCCAAACTAATCCCTTCACCACCAAGGAAAAAAAAAAAGAAAGAAAAAGACATTTGTTTTTAGAATCGCAGAATCACAAAAAGCAACATTATTTGATAGTTACAAAGTCATAGATAATGCATGATTATCAATTCTACCACTGTTTGAGAGACAAGATTTTTACTGCTCTTTGGGAGACAATATTGTATCCATTTGCCTGGACCAGCATGTCTAACATTAGTCTGTAACTTTTTCCTCTTTAGTTTATCAAGAAACTGTTACAGATGATTTACCAAAAAGTTCCTAGGAATGTTTCTTCTTTATACAGTAAATTATGATATTAGACCTACTCATGAGGCATTACACTTATATTACAGAAATAATTGTCATATCTTTTCCAGTCATTCTATATATTTATAGTATTTTTCTTGTAACAGACAGTATCCATTATGGTAATGGGCTATCCCTTGCAATTACACTAATCTTACAGGCTATTTAGCATGCACTGAACATTGCTTTGTTCAGACACTTATTTCTTAAGCTGTCACATGATCAGTATTGTATTGGTGCATCGTGACATCAAGCCAACATCACAGGCCTTGACATTAACTTTTTTATTTGGTTGTCCTGTCGGGCAAGTACTTTTGAAAATTACTTGCCCTGACCCAAAGCTTGCTTGCCCTGACCTAAACCGGTAAAGAGTTGAAAACAACCCTACATTTATAAGTAAGGTTTGAGAAAAAGGGTTGGCAATCTTTGAAAATGGGGTTTATTTATTCTCTGATCATGCATGGGTTTCATTATAAGCCGTACAGGCTTATAATTTTAAGAAATTAAGACATTTTGTGACAAAATCATACTCATTTTTTCACTAAAATTGGTTGGAAATAGAAAGAAGGTTAAAAGGGGCTAAACAAGATTTTAAAATGTTTTCAGTAATTAAGTTACATGTATTTTGAAGAAAAAAAAGTTAAAAAAATGGTTATTGTGACAAAAAAAAAGTTTTGTGCATTTGATATATAAAAATCACTTAGATAAAGTACTTTCTTCATAAAAGAATTTTTATAAAGTTGTGGACAGAAACTTTGTAGGTTTTTTGTGTACCACGTCTTAAGTCGCGAAAATATGTGACAATTTCATTTACCGATTTTGTATTCTTTTTACTTTCTTAATTTACATCTTTTTTCCTTGTGGATATGACTCTGTAACACATTTGTAGATGAATTGTTATTATTTTCACAATTATCTACAGGAGAAACGTTTTTTCTTTGAGGATATACAATAAATTTTAGATTTTAACGGCAAAAATAAACAGCCAGAAATCGGCAAATGTTTAGACGGCTGTGATTTGAACTTTAACAGGGTTTGAACACCTTTAATAAGAAGAGGTGTTGACATAATTAATAATGCTAAACAACCGGATAGTATGTGTACATGTACAATTGCCCCTGCTGTGAGGTTCGTTATTTATCGTCTCCACAAATGTGATTCGTTCTAATTAAGTCTAATTAAGATTGAAAATGTAATTTGCAATGATTATTGGTCATAATATTGGAATTTAATATGTTTACTTATGATTTTTTTCACTTGCCCTGTCGGACAAGTTCTTTTGAAATTCACTTGCCCTGACCAAACTTTTCGTTGTCCCGGGCAGTCGGACAACCGTTAATGTTGAGCCCTGCATCAGGTCTACAGTCAAAGATTGGATTGAAAATGGAACAAAAGCAGTAAGACTAACTTAAGACTTTTGATCATAGTTAACAGCTCTAGTATGACACAAAGAAAATAAGACATTTGATTACGGCTCATGACTCGGATTTTTAAAACTTGCTTTACGTTTTGCAAATCTCACGAATATGAGTTATTTCAGAGGAGACAAGAAAGAGGAGGAGGAAGAAGTTGATATCGATCTAAATGACCCTGATGTGGAAAAAGCTGCAGTGAAAATACAGGCCGGATTTAAAGGATTTAAGGCCAGACAGGAAATTAAAGATCTCAAGGTCAGTGAAAGGTCATTTATTTATAGGTCAAAGGTTATAAGGTCAAAGGTTTATCAGCTTTTGTTTTTCAGGTTACACATGTTAGAAATACAGATTGCCTCAATCTGTCATTTTGTAGGTACAGATATTTTTTTGTATTTTTTATATTATCTTTTTTTAGGGATGTGTAACATATTTTGATAATATATAATATTTATTTATATATTGTATGTGTCAGTAGTGTATGTGTGCTGTGTGTGTGGTGTATAACAATTCCATGTGTTAATTTGTTTATCATATTACCCATTGTGTATATGTATACATATGCAGTTGTATAATAGTATATAATATTGTAAACAAATGAAGTACAAGCAGATGCAACATTGGTGTCACATAAGGTAAGTCATTGTATTGCAGGTATGTTTGTTTATTGTGGAATTTTCTTACTGTTTTTGTGACTTTATAAGAAATAAATTTTCGACTTAGGGGTCCACCCTAAGATGACATATCGTGTTTGAACTTTCAATGTGGCAATAAGCTCTTGTTTTAAAGGAAGTAGACATTAAGACTGATCAAGTTCTTCATCACTCTGTTGGTATTATATTTCTTGTTATGCATTTCTAGAAATCAGTTTGTTGTCAAGGGTTCGTAGTATTGCTTGTTTTGTCTCACAATGTTTAAATTGTCAGAGAATTTCAATTGCCAAAAATGGTCTTTTTAAGGACATTGATCTATTTTTTTTCTTTATGGTATTTCATCATTCTATGATAATACTTGGCATGTCTTGAGCTTTTGATTGGAGTGGTTTATCAAAAACAACAACAACAACAAAAAAAAGAAAAAAAAATAAGAAAAAAAATAATATCTACATTGTACTTAATTCTGAAAAACTGTCTTACTATTACTAAACTAGCATATGATTGGAAATTCTGTGTTGTGATTTGAAATTGACCAATGGTACATCAGGTTGTTCAGACTGGATTACAAAAAAAAAAGAAGAAAAAGTTAGTTTTCTTGCAGACTGTGTCCTAGTATTGTATAAGATTATATATCCAATATCTGTGTTACTGGTGTTTTTATTTCATGCAGACTTGGTTTCTGGTGTTGCTGTGTGTAATTAAATGTTATTGTAATTATTGAGTGTCTGTTTTATTCCCCAGTAATTTGATGAAATAGTTGATAGGAGACAGAAAAGATCGGAGACAATGATGTGCAACAAAATTGTGTCTCTAAAATTATTTCATTTAATTATTCATTCCAATAATGTACTGAGAATGCAAGTGTGGCAAAGTATTTTCGGTCTACATTGCAGCAGTCAACAAGAATAGTTATTTACTTGGCAAGACATCATTTATTAAGTTAAAATCAGAATGCCTTGTTATATCACCGGATGCATTTAATACTGTAAAATTTATCCAGGACAGACTTTGACAATATATGAAGTATTTTCATAACCTTTGGTTCTGATATATATTTAAACCCTAACAAATGGTATTTCTTTTTTGGTTTCATGACCTTTACTTATGTCTATGTTCTGTTTCACTTGTCAAAGTTAAATTAAGCATGATATGATTGATATACATGTAAGCCTCGTTGGTTTTTCTCCCTTTTCCCATTAGTCTGAAGCCAGCCTTGATGTTGTGCTAGCTGAAATTCATCATGAAAATGAGACAGAAATTGACATAGATTTAGAGGATCCTGATGTTGAAAAAGCAGCCGTTAAAATTCAGGCAAGCTTTAGAAGGCATTTATCTAAAGAAAAAAATTTAGGGGAGGAGCCAAAGAAAAAGGCGGAGTCTGTTGGAGATAAGGAGGGGACATCAGGTGCGGCTCCTAAGGGGAGTCAAGAAGAAGAGGAAGAAGTAGACATTGATTTAAATGATCCTGACGTGGCTGTAGCTGCTGAAAAAATTCAGGCAGGGTTTAAGAAACACATGATGAAGAAAAAGAAATAGATAATCTTAAGACAGTTTACTAACATGACAAAGGCTTTGAAATAGAACAATTTTAGGATAAATTGGACTATGTGAAAAAAGTGTGATTGTCTCCATTGTTGCTACTGGCAACAATGATATCACATGACATTGTTGTTTCATCTTTCATAGTTTACTTGTTCAACTTTCTTTTAGTTTTGATTTTTCTTTGTCAAAAATCACTCAAGAAGAACAAAGTTTTACATGAGTTCAGCAAAGTTTTGAATGTTTTTTGTCTTTTAAGTTATATTTTAAAGATTCCCAGTTGCTAAGGGGGCTTGCTTTATTACAACTTTGATACAAGTAGATTATCACAAAGGAATGAAAAGTTGTTTTTTTTACAATGAGAGATATAAAGTGAACAATATAGATTATATTTTCATTGACCTAAAATTCATTGATTATCTTCAATCAATCATATTTTTAAAATGTCAAATTGCTAGTTTGGTAGATTAAATGAATAATCAATTGCAAGGATATTAACAGAAAAATTGATCATTTATGTTGTTTAAGAACCAAACTGAGAATATTTTAAAGCAATGCAATTAAACAGGGAAGATAATAAATCAAACACATTAGGAGCCATAAAAATGTTGATTTGATGCAGCTTTAAGAATTATTTTTCATTTTTTAAAGACTTTTTTGCCTCCTTTGGAATCTGCTGTAGTAAATTTTGAAAACTGTAATAAACTAAATAAACATCAGAGAGCTTGTTCTCAATATTTGGTATTAATTCCTGATAAATTCAACGGAATCCATTCTACTGTCAATTTTTTCTTCCTTTTTTTTCTCTCCCACTCCTTTCCATTGAAGTAGATTATGGATTGTCATGAAAAGAAGCGATTTAAAAGCTTTTTTTTCTGTCATTCATCACTGTCATATTTGAACTATACAAATATTTCAGATTTTGAATTCAATTGTATAAGCCAAAAATTACAGTTTGTAATGACACTAGATGGAACCCTGAGAGAAATCCTTACAGTTTTATAGATACATTATATTATTGCTTACCCATATCCTTCTAAGTCTTCAAATGGACTTGTCCAGCTTTCATTTTTGGAACTGTCCATTATCAATTTTGGGGATATATCAAGTTGAAAAAATAAGTTAGTATGCCACCAGTATAGAGCCTGTTCAGACTGCATGGATGTGTTTGCAAACTAGCCAGGCTCTATACTGGTGGCAAAGGCTAATCATTTTCATTTCCAGAAAGTTGAAATGTAAAGAAATACTCTAATGAGCTAACAATAGTGTTATTATTTTTTTTTAAGTGATTATCATGTCCGTGCTCTGCCATGCGCCCTTTTCTATTTTTGTTTTGGGTCCTCCTGGACTCCTTACTGCTGGTTCTTGTTGCTGTGTCGTGTGGAGGTTCATTGAACGCCACATTTGCTTGTGTATCTTGTCTATCATTTTTAGCTCGACTATACGAAGTATATGGAGAGCTGTCCTACTCGCCCCGGCGTCGGCGTCCACGTCCGTGTCCAGATTTCAGATTAAAGTTTTGGTGCAGTAAAATATTTTTCACTTTAACTTTGTCATTTCTTAAGGTATCAACTTCAAACTTCAAATATATGTTCCTTATCATCAATCACATCTTATGAAACAAGGTTCATAACTCTAGCACCAATATTTTCAGATTTATCTCCCCTTGAACTTAGAATTTTCCTTAAAAAATACTAATTTTTACTGTTACTTTGTCATTTCTTAAGGTATCAACTTCAAACTTCAAATATATGTTCCTTATCATCAATCACATCTTATGAAACAAGGTTCATAACTCTAGCACCAATATTTTCAGATTTATCTCCCCTTGAACTTAGAATTTTCCTTAAAAATTTCTAATTTTTACTGTTACTTCTTTATTTCTTAAGGGATCAACCTCATACTTCAAATATATGTACCTTATCATCATCCACATCTTATGTGACAAGGTTTATAACTCTAGCACCAATATTGCAAGAATTATCTCCTCATCAACTTAGATTATTTTACTAGAAAAATGTTATTTTTTAGTTTTAAAGGTATCTACCTCAAACTTCAAATACTTATTCCTTATAATCAATTATATTTTGTGTGACAATGTTCATAACTCTTGAAGTAATTTTTACAGATTTATTTCTCTTTGAACTTAGGATTTTCTTTAAGAAATATTATATAACTTTGTTACTTTTTAATTATCTACTTCAAACTTCAAATATATACTTTTTGTCATTACATACATGTTGTGTGACAAGGTTCATAACTCTAGCGTGACTATTTCTAGAATTATTTCCCTTGATCTTGGAATTTATTTAACAAATGTTATTTCTTTACTATAACTTAATACATTATTATACATAATTGATTTTTCTTTCATAGTTTTGTCCTCCTTACTGCGTCCAGTATTTCATTAGTCGAGCTTGGCTGTCTCCTGTAACAGCTCTTGTTTTATATATTGAGACCAATAGATTCTTTGCTGAATGTCATTTTTAGCTCAACTTTTTGAAGAATAGGGAGAGCTATTGTAACCATTATCTCCAAACTACTGACGGGGAATGGGTTGAAACTCCACAGCATAATAGGAGCTCACAAGGCAAATCCCATATCTCTAACATGGACTTTGACAGAATACATGTAATATGGCCTTTTTTGAACTTAAAAAATTCTACATTATTATAATTATCCAGGCTCTTGTTTAACTATCAAGCACTGAGAATAGTCCAGCACACTGTCCTACTGACAACTCTTGTTAATTTGATGTTTATTTTTAAAGCTAATTAGATCCAAGTTAAAATGGCAATAATTAAAAATTGTATGAATAAATAAATTTTTATCATTTCAAAAACCTTTGCGGAATTTTCGTTCTGTACAAAATATGCATGAGCCATAATATTATTTGAGAAAGAAATAATCTTAAATTCAAATTAAAACAACAACCAGGAAGTAATTAAAGGTTAAAATTGCTCATTTCCTCAAAATGAATTAATTTACTATGGTTATGGCAAAATTAGACTTTGTAGTTTTTGACTCATACAATTCTAAAAAAATACAATTAATTCAAATTTATTGGCTGACTAGAAATTTGCTATTTAATTCAAATAGGAATCAAAACCAATTTTGAATGTGAATTAGTTTTGTTTTATATGTTTAAATGTTTCTAATACCAATAATCTAGCTTAGAAATTTTAGAACTTTTTAGAAGTTTTAATCAGTGGAATGAAAAAAAATTATTTTACAATCTCAATTTCCTTCTTTGAGGCTAAATTTTCAAAAGAGAATTAAAGAAAATAAAGTTTGCTAGGGTTTTTCCTTAAAAAAAAAATTGAACTTGAACTAATGGACTTCCTTAATATCATTTTTTTCTAAAGAAATTGAAAATTAAAAAAACTACAATTATTTTAATAATTGAAATAAAATAAAACGACTATGAGTAACAATTTCATATTTAATTTTGTTATATGTATATGACTCATACATGAACGCTTCAACAATGTTATTGCAAACAATAAAGCAATATCGCACTAAATACAATTCAAGGTTGGATTGTTTTGGCCGCTCAAATTTGACAGGGTATCCCGTGTCTAAATAATTCGACCGAGAGGAGATCAGACGTGCTTTATATTACACATTTACTTTTTGCTAAAGTCCAAATACATACAAAAACATGCAAACAGTATCATACAAACGCAACGCAACGCAAACGCAAAACACAGTGTTCAACAGTCCAAAAGATTACCGCAAATGACATCAAATTGAAGATTCCATTCATCGCTGGGAACCCAAGCGTATAAATAGAACCCACAACTGACGCCATTGTACGGCAACGCCATACACTGCAACGCAAAAAACAGGAATTGCCAAGTACTACGGGCAAAACCAAATAACGCAAACTGCAGTCCAAACACATGGACAAACTGTATGATACTTCCAAAATTAATTTCCTGATTATAGGTCGGCCTACCCTGACGGGTATTCCGTCACGAGCAGTAGAACCATACACAGGGTTTTAAGTTAAAATGCCAACAAAACAGAATACAATGTCTGATCTCCTCTCGATCGGAAGAATTTTACGCCACAATAAATTTATCAAAAAATTTATCCCCCAAATTCTTATTGGGAGACTGGTACATTTTTTATGATAGAATCTTTGAAGTAATCTAGGAGGAATTCCAAACCAATATCATTGAGATGAACCCCGTCTGCCCGAAAAAATGCAGTTTTAGCATCAATGTCTGGCTTAATTGTGTCACTTTTACCCGATGAATGAACTAATTGACGGCCTAACCTGTTAACTCGTTTGCGTTTATTTTCCATAGCAACCCAACCCCCCGTGGCATTATGCCAGGTCTGCCTCTGTAATATATCTACCCAAATTAGTACCGTTGTAGGGAAAGCTTCACGTAAGTAAAAAATTTCATCCCGAATAACATCTTTCAAATTTAAAATCGGTAAATCTGCCAAATCATTACCTCCTAAATGAACAATAATAATGGATGGAGGTGAAGAAAATAACACCTGTGATTCAATAGAGTGAGGGAAAGACTGCCAACGTAGGCCTCGAATACCCCACCAGGCTATTGTTAAATCTTTCAATCTCAAATTAGGCTTTCCTGTATTCTTTGCCTGCTGTCCGGCCCAGAACGGGATCGAGTCACCCAGGACCCAAACATCTAAATATAAATAAAAGATTACACAGCGTAAGATAGTGATTGAGAAGAATCAACATTTAAGGACGAATATAAAGTCGAAACGCTTGAGATGTCCACCTTCCCAGTTTCATTATTACTGATGAAGGGTAACCTTTGGTAGCTAAGTCTGTGGCTCTGCCTATTCTAAAGCTATGGGAGGTGACATGTGCGTCAGACAAATTAGACTGATTGACACACTTAGTTAGTACTGCCGAGAACTGCGTTCTAGTTACCAGCGAACCATCAGCGTGACAAAATAGAGGGCCTTTTGAACGAGGCCTGATTGACACAAATTCAAATAGAGCGTTAACAGGGCATAAATGACCAGTTTCTCTATGTATTTTCAGAAGAACAGGAGTCCCTCTTTGATTTGTTTTAAAATGACGCAATTTAATAACTGCATATTCTTTTTGACCTACAAATGTCAAATCTGATAAACTGAGCACATTTTCAGCTTGCATGCCGGATGACGTAACCAATTCGCTGACCCGAAACAAACCATAATAGGCCAAGGTAAAAAGTGACTCGAATAACTTGTTTATTGTAAATATTATAACACACGCTCGGTAGTGAATCACACACCGAAACCAAAGTGCGTATTGTTAATGGTGCCCGACAATCGTTAGTTATACGATTTCTGCGACAGCCTTCTAATAATTTGTTGACCATAAAAACATTATTTATGTCATAAAAACCATATAATTTATGGTAATAATTCAGGCCAGCGATATAAGTTGTAATAGTTTTTGGCGAATGGCCTTTCTCAAAACAAAATGCCATAAACAAAATCACGTGATTAATTGGAATAGGCCATTGACTTAGCATTTTGAATGATAGTCTAAATTTCTCGAACATATTGACGCTAGTTCGGTAAGTTGATAAAGAGTTTGATGCTAGTCCCGATTGTAGCAGTTGTACAACTCTAGACTGAATGCGTTCCATAGAAACTCTGGAACCTGGCAAGGGGTGAGGTCTGCTTCCGGTGCCAACTCCCTGAATCGAGATAGCTGAAACCGAGACAAAGCATCACAAATATCATTTTGACAGCCAGGGAGATGACTAGCCTTAATTAAAATGTTGAGTCTTAAACAGCGTAATGCTAAAATTCTGACAAGACACATGACTGCCTCTGATTTTGACGTTAACTTATTGAGTATATGTACAACTGCAATATTATCACAATTAAATTTTATTTTTCTGTTCACTAATTCCTCGCCCCAAATGAATAATGCGACTAAAATGGGAAAGAGTTCTAGAACAGTAATATCCGTGGTGATACCTAATTCATGCCACCACGTTGGCCATCTTGCATTGCACCAATGACCCTTGAAGTAAAGACCAAAACCTAAACCTATACCCCCGGCACTATCTGAAAATAACTGCACATCCTCATTTGAGACCCAAAATCTGTCATGAAAAACGGAAATACCGTTAAATGATTCTAAGAAAACTAGCCACATAGACAAATCCAATTTTATTTCTTTTTTTATTCTAATTCGATGATGAGATTTAGTAAGCCCACATATTGAATTGATTAAGCGGCGAATAAATGGTCGACCAATAGCTATTGCACGACAGCAAAAATTTAAAGATCCAATTAAAGATTGTATCTCTTTTAATGTTGACTTTTTATGAGATAAGATATTCTTTATTTTTCCAACAACCTCGGTTATTTTAGTCGTGGGTATCCTCACAACCATTTTGTTTGAATCTAACTCGAGGCCGAGGAAAACGAGGCTCTCCGTGGGCCCCTCGGTCTTATCTTCGGCTAGGGGTACCCCTAACTCCGACATTGTTCCTCTAAATATTTGTAATGCCCTATTGCAAGAGTCCATCGACGTATCACCTCCCAAAAAATCATCTAAATAGTGAATTAATTTGCCTGATTCAAAATTAAATGTAATGCAAAATTCTAAGAATCTTGAAAATCTTTCGAAGGTTATACAGCTTACAGATGCTCCAAACGGAAGTGCCTTATCGAAATAAAACTTATCATTATAACGAAAACCAAGCAACTCAAAATCTGAAGGTTTAATAGGGATCAGACGGTAAGCACTTTTAATATCGGATTTAAATAGTTTGCAGTGCTGACCTAGATCTTGAATCATTTTGATTGCCTGATCGAAACTGGTGTATTGAACCGTGCACAAGGCCGGATCAATATAATCATTGATTGATTCGCCCGGCGGATATGACAGATGATGAATCATTCTGAACTCCCCGGGGGTTTTCTTCGGGACCAGACCAATCGGGGATACAATTAAGTTTGGTAGTGGACGCTCATTGAATGGTCCAGCTACCCGGCCAGCTATAATTTCTTTATTAATTTGACTGTTAATTATTTCCGGATTTAACAGAGTAGAACGCAGATTATTGGAATCACGTGCAACACGGGGACCGGAATACTGTAGTGGAAAGCCATTCTTAAAACCATCATATAAAAACTCTGCTTCAATTTTATTATAAAATTGTAAATAATATTGCATGGCCGAAAGTTTAATTGGTGATTTCGCAATATTATGAATATCTGGATTTGACTGTTTTTCTGATGTACAACAATGATTAATCGATTTACTTGTTTGACTGCCCTCTATTGTAACCTCTCCCTTTTGAATGGGACTGAGACCCCCTTCCTCGAAAATTACGTTGAAAAGCTGGTGTACGGCTTTTCTGTGTATAACCAACTGAATTTGAAGAGAAACAGTTTATCTCAGGATGGGGCGCATTACACTTTGCGCATAAGTGGGGAAATTTGCAATTTTGCCACGTGCATCTACCATAATTAAAATCAAGACACGTGTACTTAAATTTTGAAACTTTTTGGGCTTGATCTGGCTGTCTAACTTGCATACACCGCCACCATAGGTCATTGTTGATTTTAGACCATGGTGAAGGTGTAATAGCCTGGCGTAAGCGAAACTGCTCATCATAAGTTTTCCAAGCTAACCCGCCTTGTCGCATAGCGCATTCTCTTATATTGTACATATAATGTAGCAGTTCATAAACTTTGTCTGAATGATTTGACAGGTATATGGAGGCATATATGATGAATGCATTTGTCCATTTTTCGATATCATAAATCTGATCTTTACACTCCTTTGGAGCCGAAACAAATTGTAACTCGGAATTAACCGTAACAATACCGCCCCTAAAAAATTCGGATAGCTCAATTGCACCCTTAAGCAACAACGCAAAATTAACGTACTCGCCTCTACAGATTTGCTGTTTGAGAACTGTAGGGATATGAGCCGCTAAGTCATCGTCTGCTAGGCGAACAGACGGTGCTGAGCATACATTAGCTGGTGAAACATTTGTCAGCGGCCTAGAATGAACATTTGCATTATTACTGGTTGTGTCGGACCCCAGAAAATGATCATTATTTACACGTGTTGGTAAATCTTTATTTGAAATAATACCCGATGCACTCAAAATTCGCTCGAAGTCGATAACATTGGACTTACCCGCTTCAGTCTCTAGAAGCCTGACATCCACCATGTCGTCCAATTCGTCGGCTTGGCGCTTCTGACCCCTCGGTTGTCTGGCATCGACGCGCGGGTTATCCTGCACGTGCTCTTGACTCTGCTGGGGCTGGGCGCTACCACAATCATCAACTGCTCTACCTGCACGACGTGGAGTTGAATTTTGTTGACATTCGACGGTCCCTCGTGCATTTCTCTGCAAACGACGCTCCCCTAGAGGAATTTCAGGTACTGAAGCTGCCTGTCCTCTCTCGCTGCGTCGCATGGCCATTTCTCTTCTCGAAGGTTGAATCCTTCGGCGTGTACGACCTCGTGGCATGGCAAATAAATTTCAGCTTACTCTAATTGAGTGTGTTATTGCTTCGTCGTCAAACAAAAACTGAGAAGGTTGCACGAGAAATTCGAGCTTTTATATTATTAACAGCTAACTCTTTAAACCCGGCCCTATATAGAAATGATAAGATAAACACGGTAACCAGTGTAATGTAAACAATCTATAGATAATGACCGAGGTTTGCCGATTGCCACGTAATGATAGCTTTACACATGGTAGCAGACGATTATTTCTCTAAAATAAATGGGATTATTTTAATTCTAAAATAATCTTTATTATTTTTCAATAAAATCTCCTACTTTTGTTAGTCTCAGCGGTCAGTATTTTGCAAAGTGTGACCATTGTATATATAACATAAAGCCCTAAAGCGCACAATTTTTTTGCTATTTCTACTGTCAGCCTAATATTTCAAACTAGACAAAGACAGTATCAATTTAAGATTGTGACGGTATTTTGTTCATCTAACCAAACAAAACCTTGATATCTGCTCTATGTTTTTATTATTGTTAATCACATAAGCATCATGTTTGAAGCCAGCAAAGAAAGGAAATCAATTGATAATCTGATATAGGATAAATATTGCCGTTAAGAATTGCTCTATAGTAAGCCAATATTAGCAGTGCCGTATATGATTGTAGCCGTATAGTGCCAGTACCGCACTTATTTATAGATCATGATCAATACCTAGTAGACATCTTTCGTTGTTAAAGTTGTAGCTAGGGAAATTATTGTAGTCTTTTATTCTTTTTATCGGAGCTACTACATGTAATTGGCAAAAAAAGTTACGATGCCAATTTTTTTTTTATTTGGGACGAACATAAAAAATGTGATTCCCGAAAAATAAGGTTTTCTAATAAAGCGAAAGATGGCTTAAGCATAGGAACTCGAGAACGGGACCGCAGATTGCGGCGTATATTTTCGATCTTGTAACGGTTTTTAAATACATTTCTGCTACATCTAAATATCTTTTAGTATTATCCGAGTGTATGGACTCAAAAAATATATTATCAGTTGAACCCAATCTGTCTCTTTTAAAATTGGTCAAATTTTACGGTATTATAAAAAAAGACAAGGAGTGACATCCGCCATTTGCCGCAACGTTTTCGGCATGAGTTTTTCCCCTTTGGCTACAATTGATTACTATTTTTTCAGAATTTTGTTCCCGTTATTTTTGTCAACTATCAGGTATCGTCCGGATATAACGTTAACGGTTTATTGTTTACACGTGTTGACATGTATAGGCGGCATTATAACGGGCGTATTCGTGTATTGATTTGTTAAAATGGAGAAAACAGACACTTTAGTAATATGGTCCAACTGATTTTGTCTAACTGAAAAAAGGAATATTTAAACATGATCCATAGATAAATATTTTAGGCACTCATCTCGTATTCATTACTAGAAAAATTAAAACAAAAATCAAGCATATCAAGGGGGGTAACTTACGCCGAACGTTGCGGCAAATGGCGGATGTCTCTCCTTTTCTTTTTTCAATATACCGTATATTTGACTGATTTTTAAATTAGCAGATTATATTTAATTGAGATTAGATAATTACAGACCACCCGCTCGCATAATATGAAAAGATATTCAAAGGTCGGAAAAACAATATGTAAAGCCGGTACGGATTCGGATTTATGCGCCGCAATATGCGGTCCTGTTCCAGAGTTCCTATGGGCTTAAGATGATGATAAAGTTATGACATTGTTTATAGATGACATTGTAAGATGGTTTATAAATGACATCTGAAGAAAAAGTTCTGTTTGCTGTAAAATTTGCAAGTAAAAACGTCTTTTGGTTGTAATTTTTCAAGTACAGTATAATACATGTATAAGACAAAAAACCTCTATTAAAATATTAATTTCTTAGACCATTAAAATGGAAGACTTGCTCTGAATTTTATGTTTTATGTTTAATAGGATTTTCAATATCAAAAAAAGCTATTAGAATAATATGTACAAGTCTGGTCAAAATCAGCATTGTTGTTAAAGCAGGTCTGATTTATACCACAGTGGCACATTGCAGACAAATCACTTTGCCAACAGCATTCTATAGTTTTATAAGTGTTATTCAAAACAGTTTTCCTCAAACATCAAGATAATCACTTTGAATTTGTTACTGTTTATTATTGAAAATTTAACGTTTATTTCATGCTTGCCATGAAGATTTTATGACTTTTGAAGCACAGTTTTTGAAAACATTGTTTTACTAAATATGTTTGTAAAGTTTCTTTTTTTCTGATTGCAGCAGATTTTTATCATTGTTGGTTGATCATCTTTAATCATTTTTGTTTTGTTGTTGTTAAGATTTACTTGTTTGTTTACTATGATTTTTTTCTTTGGATTGTTTAATTTCTTTCATCGTTTTTGATTCCCTTTGCCATAATTGTTGGTTTTCTTTGAAATATTAAATATTGTATTTTTCTTTTTTATTTCTTGATTTTCCTTGACTTTTTTGCCTTGACTTTGTTTCATATCTTTGACTTGTTTTTTTCTTTGAAAATGTTGATTTTCTTTGAACATTTTTGGTTTTCCTTGACTTGTTTGTCATAACTTCTTTCATTTCTTTGACTTGTTGCTTTTGTTTGATTTGTTGGTTTTCCGAAACTTGTTGGTTTTCCTTGATTTGTTTGATATCTTGGACTTGATGGTATTGTTTGAAAATGTTGGTTTTCTTTGACTTGTTCAAATGTTCTTTGGCTTGTGGGTTTTCTTTGAAATCGTTGGTTTTTAAGGCATTAATGAAATTTTACTTTTGTTTATTGTTTATAATGTTTCTGAAGTTATAGTTGAAAATGCCACAGTTTAAGTCAAGTTGTTTCCTTTAACAGACTCTTTATGATGTGACATTTTCAGGAAAGATTACATCTATCATTTATAATGGAATTATAGATAGTAACAAATTGTTCCTCGTTGTCTGTTAAAAAAAGAGAATATTCAAACATCTGAATAAATGGCCATCCCATTATCACTAGGTATATAGATAGTGTGTCTATAACACTTTCTTACATTCCTGTTTTTCCAATAGAACAACACATGAATTAATTCCTGTGAAGTTTTGGTTGAAGACAATAATGTATTTAGAAACGGTATTTAAAAATGTTCAACTACATTTTCTGGCTTTGCATTAATTCTAGAAAAGAAGTTGGTGGTTAATTTTAAAAATATCAGGTTTGCACAAGCATTGACTGAACTGCTTGTTTTCTATATTGCTACATATGAATAAATGAAATTCTCAGAAAATGCAAGGAAAGAAACCCGACCATTGGGATTAAATTAAGTGAATATAATGTTAGAAGTAATCTTAACTGGGAAAGTCACTCGTGTTACATGTTCACCACATTGATTCAGTTTTGGGTTAAAATACTAGAAATTGTTTAAAAAAAACATGATAAAGTAATATGATATTTATTATGCTCTTAAAAGGAGATATTTTGGCTTTTTATAAATGGTAAAACTTTTATAAAGTCATTCATGGATGTGGTAATTAGAATCAGTATGGTGTGACAATTTATTTCTGTCAGTTAATTTGGGTAAGTAAAAGTCTCCCGACAAGTTACAGTTAATTACACAAGTTTCAATTAAGGTAAGTGAAAACTTTTAATACATATAGTAATTAAGAGGCTTTTGAATGTACACCCATCAATATGTACTTGTGTGTACCAAAAATTTATGTACTGTGAAATCAGACATATTTGTGAGGTAAAAATTGTGCAAATTTAACATTTCAGATTTTGATATCCTCAAGGAAGAATATAAGCTAATTTTTTCTTTCATTTCTAATAAATTTATATGACACCTTTGGTTATCTTGATAAGAATTTGAGTCAGTTATTATTCTCTACAATTTTTATATTTAAAGATTAGTACCTTTAATTTCCTGAAAATCTAAAATTTATGAAATTAGCAAAATTTAATCTCACACGAAATTTTCTGATTTTACACTTTATGTATATTACTGTGAAAATGTATTTTTTGGAGAAGTGGAGTGTTTGAAAATATTTTTGTAATTTACTAACCAAGTTCTGACTGCAGTGGTCATGTAACATTAAAATAAAAGTCATATATAACTAAAAACATTAAATGGAAACCTTTTTAATGACAAGCAGAAGACTTTATTTTTATATGAAACATTTTATGCATAATTCTTTAATTTTTTATTTTATAAAGTAGAACTTTTTTTCTCAATTTTGTTTTTTAATTTTCACTTTTTACATGAAAAAAAATGTGGTAGCTGTAGAAACTAGAAAGGTTTCACTGTAAAATTTTCTCTCTTCTAATTTCATTTATTGTTTGAAAATTGCAACTTTGTAGAGCAACTTTTTGTGTATAAACTTAAAGCACAACTCAGTATTTGAGAGTTTTTAGTACATATGATAAATGTCTTTTAAAGTGACATTTTCTTTGTCACATGCACTTTTTCTTGCTTAAACTATTTGCTGTGAGCTTATTGTGTGAAGTGTGCTTTTAACCATTAATACAGGATAAAAATGAAAGCTCCTCCCCCACTGACGCTGCCCCTCCCACTGAAAGTGCTCCTCCAACTGATGGTGCCCCGCCCACTGAAGAGGAAGAAATAGATATTGACCTTAATGATCCAGAGGTCAATGCAGCAGCCCTAAAAATACAAGCAGGTTTTAAAGGCCATAAAACCAGACAACAGTTAAAGGTGAGGGTTAGGAAAAATACAGCATGTTCCAAACAATATCATTTATATTTATAGAAAAGTCAGTTTGCTTTCTGTATTGTTACCATTTACAACTTTGCAGCAAAATGACGTCATCTTAAGTACGTAATACATTCATAAAAGGTGTCTAGGAATAATGTCACTTAATGCATGCAACTTGTCTTACATGGAGGAGGTGTAAGACAGATTTCTCTAGCACTGGTGTAAACAATAAATCTGTAAATAATCCTGTCTGATATGCAAGAAAAGTATTTAACAAAGGACACCAGAGTACTGGCAAGTCCAGGAAAATGGCTGAAATATAATTTATATACATGTATAAAAAATGTTTTATTAATACACAGTATGTTGTTGCGTTCTAGTACTAAAAATTATGTTCCTGCCTCTTTCATTACACTCAAATTATCATCTAAATGTACAATAATCTAGCTTGCATGATTTTATGTCCTAAATACTAATATAATATTATTATGAAGCAAGGTGGTTTTGGAATTATAAAACAAGTTTATTATTTTAGGGACTTTAAAACCTCTGTAGCTTACTGTGTGCTGTCATGTCATAAATGTTGAAAGCAACTATGCTTTATTACTTCAATTCTATTGTAGCTATGTCACTTTTATCTTGGTGTTTGTTCATGTGTATATTCAGAGTGGGGCTTAGGTGGATATAGGGTTGGGGTGATGGATAGGGGACCATGAACCCGCCTCGTATTTGACTAATATGCGAAACCCCTCTGAGATTTGGGTCTATAATCACATTTTTGTTAGTGAAATAGATGCAAAAACTAGTGAAATTTGGCACAAATTTGAAATTTTTTAGGTAGATTTTTGTTATCTTTTGGAAAAAATAGTTCTTTGCAAACATCTTTCTTAGACCATATCTCTTGGTATAAGTTGTCACGTAGTAATTTTAGTGTGTGATTTAGTGTATGTGTTTTGTTGTGAAATCTTCTAACCTTGCTTCATGCATATATCACCAACATTATTAACAGGACAAACAAACAGATTCTAGCACCAATGAAACAGAGAAGACAACAACTGAGCCTCAAGGTGAGGTGGAGGAGAAAAAAACAACAGAAGCAGAGGAGGAGGTTGATATAGATTTAAATGATCCTGAAGTAGCGCAAGCTGCTCTTAAAATTCAGACAGGATTTCGCGGCCATTTGGCGCGGAAAGAGGTCAATGCTTTGAAGGTGTGTAGGTCAAGGTCTCGGATAGCTACTGTATACCTAGTTATAGACATACCCTAGATTTAATATTGTCAGTTAGCAAACCTTAGTTTGTTTCTATAATACACACAAAGTATTCCATGTTGCCTTGTTTTGTTATTGTTGTTGTTGTTATTATTGTTAGATCTACAGTCATGTCAAAAATCAAGATTTTGTTTAATTTTGCGACTAAATCAAAATCAAATCGTTCTGCAAACTTGTGAAGTTCTTCTTGTTAAGCTTGTGGATTTATTAAACTTCTTGAAAACAATTAAAGTCACTTCTTAATGTTTTGAAATATTGAAAATATTCCTTGAAGAACTTGTCTCACTTAAAAAAAAATACTTTGATTTTTTGTTTCTTAAAAGGATGCAAAAATATTTAGATTTTATTTGAAATTGATATAAATTATTTTAAATTTCCAATGACATGTTCTGCAATGAAACAAATTGCTAGACCTTTAAAATTGTGAATTTCAATTTCCCCCAGGGAGTAACTGTTCTATGCTAATAAAGGATTTACATGATCTTAGATTTTATTGAGACATACTTTGAGGGTTGAATGCAAAACTAGTATATCTCCATTTTGAAAAAAGAAGGTATTTAGTCCAGTTTTGCATCAAGCCTTAAATTTAGAAAAAGAATGTAGAAAATCACCTTGCCACAATATGTTAACATGTTATAGTGCAATAAAACACTAACTATTTTGACTTCAGCCAGACCTTTTTGTAGCACTCAATTGTAGTTAGTTATGCCCTTTTTAGCTGTATTAATTCTTGTTTAGTAACAAAAAGTTACCTTCTTATTTTTGAAACATTTTATTAATTTTCATTATTTTTTCCAGCTTTGCACAGAAATTGCATGACCTCTGTATGGTTGTTATTTAAGCACAGACATGACTGAGTTTTCTGTGAATTTATTTCAAACACATTGCTGTACAAGCTTGTATTTTGCATGAAAACACTTACATTGGTGTTTGTAATTGTTACATGTACATAATTATATGCTGTCTCAGAAATGTAGAAAAATCTGTTGAAATTACAAGAAAGTGAAAAGTTTAACCCTTCGCCTGCTTGCAGCAACTGATTTTCACCATGTGACCAGTGCAGACCTAGGTCAGCTGTGCTGTCTAATGATGGTCAGTGGTCACTATTCAGTTCAGTAAATATTTTGAAATTTTCCCTAAAATGATGAATGGTTTTATCCAGATTGACAACCTGGGACATGGTCTATTTGAAAAATATTTTTGGTAGGGGCAGGGTTTAAACCCCCCCATATGTTAATTTTCCCTGGAACCTTTTATTTGGCCCCCTTTTATAAATTTCCCCCAAAGGGTTTTCCCAAGGGAAATTTTCCCTTCTTTTTTATCCAAAACCTTGGAAAATCCCACGCCCGGGCCCAAGAACCTTGGGGCCCTATGAATTCCCCCGTAAAAGACTAAAAAGAATTTTTTTGTGGTTTTAAACCCAAAAAATTATGATGTTTAAGATATATTAGGAATTATTCCATTGCCTTCACTATTTTGTCAAACATTAACTTTAGAAAACGTAACCAACTTTATTGCACAAGAACTTTGCCTGTTATATGAAGAGAGCAAAACTTTTTTTCCAAAAAAATATGCAAGTACAATGTAAATATTAAAAGCACTACAACAAATTCACAAGTTGTGAAAAATGATAGTTTTAAGTATTGCCAGCTTGCCAGCTTTAAGTGTTATCCCTGACAATTTTTAAGACATTAAGGGTACACTTTTTATCCTAAAATGACAAGAAAATTCACATGATGGGTTCCAAATGGAGGACATAATTTGATTCTGCAAAATATCGATAAATGCCGAGTCAGCGTTTATTTAATGTTTTGTAAATTAGATAAATGTAGGAGACGGTTGGGAAAATTATTTTATCCTTATGGCATTGTCAAACTGTTCAATATCTTCTTAAGAATAAGAGGTAAAGAAAAAACAATTTTGTCTTATTGTATTTGAAGGGAACAAATTCTATTTTTGACGAATGAGTCAGTATTACTTTTTATAGAAGCCAATTTCTATTTACATAGTGCTGTACTAGATGACATTATATAGTTTAACAAAATTACTATTGTTAGCATATTAGAGTGACATTGTGAACACTTAATTGTACCATGCTAAATATCTTAAATGAACTTGTCCATTCTTCAATGTGGATAAAACCAATCATCATTTAAAAGGAAATTTTTATTAAAGTTTGTACTGACGGTACATAACAGTGCAGACCATGATCAGATGAAACAAATGTCCCGGCTTCTCTTGGTCTGCACTGGTTGCATGCATAGAATCTGTTGCCTCCTGCAGACATAAAGTTAGAATAATCAGTCTATTCATTTTTCAATGGACTTTATTGTCAAATTTCTTTTTGCTATGATAGCTGATGTTACAGCAATAAAAGTTTAGATCTCGTATCTATGACATTAACATTAAACTAGATCTATATATAAATCTAAAATACCTGCTTTAATTTAACTTTATATATTTGTATGACACTTCATAAGTCATTCCTTAGTTTTATTGATATAATAAAATAACCCGGCTGTAAATTTTTTATTGCATAAACTCATATTTGATATATGATTATCAAATACATTTACATGTATAGTACTGAAGTCTGAAGATGGTCATAGACATGTTTTCTATTTTAATCATTACCATGCTAAATATTTTAAATGGACTTTTCCATCTTTCAATCCAGACAAAAACATTTTTTTTAAAGAATTTAAAATAAAAATATACTGACTGAATTGTGAACAGTGCAGACCATAATCAGATCAAAAGTATGTGCCAGCTGATCTTGGTCTGCACTGGTCACATGGGTAGATTCTGTAGACACCAGCAGGTTTAGGGTTAATCACTTGCATCAAGATTTGATGTCTTGATTACAAGTTATATAATATATATACATGTGTCATAGTTTTTTTTAGTTTTTGTTTTTGGTAAAAACTGAAATTTATACTATACATACATGTATTCATTTATTGCATATTTAGTATACATGTATAATACATAAGACAGGCAACCTGAGTCAAATGCCTATGTATCAACTTTAACAATATAATGTAGTTTTTTCCTCTTAATACAATATTATCAGGCTGTCCAGCGTCCCTAAAATTCCTAAAAAATCCTATTTTTTTTCAGTTTGGCTAAAATTCCTAAAAAAGTGAAAAATTCAAAGGGAATTCCTAAAAATGCCCTATTTTTTCACTGAAATTCCTATTTTTTTTATCTTTTGTTATAAACTTACTTATAACTTGTAACCCTGCGAAAATGGTCACGGACATAACAAAGTCGACCATGTTTTGAAATGGTCAAAAATGATTTGGCCATGATTTGCCAACTCAAAATTGGTGACATTATGAAATAGTTTCGTTCCAACTAAAAGTTACTTTGACTATGTCCGTAACATTACTTTTTCATAAGCAAAGCAGTTTTTGACGTTAACAGCAAAAACACTACCATATCATGGTGTCCTGAAACTTAAATCATATCCATAAGAGGTCCACTTATTCTGGAATATTTTGACACTGTTTTGCCAACTCCAGATATCTTGAATTTTATGTTTGTTCTTTTTTTCCAAATAGCTGAAGTGGTCCATTTATATCATAATATAATATTTGAAAATGATCATTATGAAGCTGTTGTAACACAATCTTAATTAAAAACATGTATAAATAGTTGTCAAAAATTAATGTACAATTTGTTTACTCACAACTCTTTTATTTAAATCTGCATAATTTCAAAACAACATTGCAAAGTACTTAATGTGTTAACGTAGACTTTGCAAAATTAATTATATCCCTCATACTTATTTATCCTTTCCAATGCCTCTGTAGGAGAAATTGCTTATTTTGCAAAGTTTTCATTCAAATTCTTGTTCTTTCATTCATATGGTGCATAAAGGCAGACTCATATAATTTTATCACACTCAAAATAATTTGGCAGTTCACTAATTTAAAGCTCATTTCCAGTAACCATGTACACACATTTTGCAATTATATGATCTAGATAAACTGCAATTGAATGGTCTATGTGATGAACTTTTTTGATGTGCAATTTTGTGTGTTGATAACAGATGCTTCCCATTTGTTCAAATGATTGTACTAAGGCTAATGCCCTTTTACTTCCTACTTGTACAAAAAAATTCATTTGTCCATATTCAAAAGCTGCATTGTGCATGAATTTCACTGTATAAGAATTCCTTTTTAGTCACTTGTGGTTATAACATTCCCAAAACATAGGTAGAACATGTTCTTTTGACATGTTCAACCATTGAAAAAACATATTTCAAATATGGTTTGAACATGGTTTGACTATGACCATTTCCCCAGGGGAGGCAGTTGACCAGTGAGTCCACAGTGGTAAACACCTTTGCTCTAACTAAACAAGAGTATTATTTGTGAGTTACTGTTGTATCAAATATGCAAAGGTTAGCCCACATCATGGTCTTTTGGGGTCTTAGTTTAGTTATAAAATTCCAAATTTTAGCCCTAAAATTTCTATTATGTACCCTAAAATTCCTTATTTTAGCCCTAAAATTTCTAAAAAATTGCCCTAAAATTTGCCCTAATTTTATGTTGGAAGGTGCTGGACAGCCTGTATTATAAGCTACTAAAATGTCATAGTTTATATTGTAGAAGCTATATGTTTGCTAAAACTAAATACATAGAAATTACCATATTTACATTCCTATAAAGTTTTTGAGATGTTTATGACTTATAAAGTTTAAGCGTTGCAGTCTCATAGATCAATGTAGAATAATTACACAAGTACATTAAACCATTGTTTTTGGAGAGTATTCTTTATAAGTGTAAATAAGTTATATCAAATCAATATTAGAATTTTCATAAAATTATAATTTATATGTACAGTGAAAGTACTTTTCTAGATGACGTAGCATTTCAGTGGTTGATTGAGAATTGAAAATGACCAATGGCTTGTTTAGGGAGACTGGCCACTAAAAACTGGCAATGGTCATACAAGTATTATATTTATGTAATGAGCTAGTGATTTATCTTGCAGAAATTTGCTTTCTATATTATATAGCTTTTGATTGGTTGATTACAGATTTGAAATTGACCAATAGTTTTGTTAGAAGTATAATGTTCATGTATTGAGATTATGATATGTCTACAAGAGAGTACTTACCTCATTACGAAGCATTTCATTGGTTGATTATAGATTTGAAATTGATCACTTGGAACTTTAGGAGAAAAATGTTTATGTTATGAGAATACAATTTATCTTCAGAAAATTACTTTTTTCATAATGAAGAATTTCATTGGTTGATTGTAGATTTATTTCATTGGTTTATTCTAGATTTAAAATTTTCCGATGGGAACTTTAGAACTGTAATGTATATGTAATGAGAATGTGATATATCTTCAGGAAAGTAAGACCGAACAGAAGACAGAAGAGAAAGTGGATGATAAGAAAGAAGAAGAAGAGGTAGATATAGATTTAAAAGATCCTGAGGTTGAAAAAGCTGCATTGAAAATACAGGCCGGTTTTAAAGGCATGCAGGCAAGGCAAGAAATTAAAGCAATAAAGGTATGAAGTTTATTAAACATATTGTTGCTTTGAGAGGTTATGGGCGACTTTAAAGACATTAATATACACCTGCAATGAATATAGTAAGTATTTCTTAAACTGCATAGTAACAGTTGACCAGCATTAAGTACAGAATAGACAGGTTTGGAGCAGATTTTAATGTCCAATTTCAGCTTTCATTGCTTTGTCAAGTTGCAAGCTTTACATTCAAATTCTAAAGCGCTAAATGCTCAATGCCAAATGTCAATCTTGATGAGTCCAAGTCTTAAAGGTCAAGGTCAGTCTACAGTTTATTCTTACAAATGAAATATGAAAAAAAGAAAGGACATAAATCTAAACTGACCAATCTCTACTGAGTGAGGCAAAATTTGTTTTATGTATTTCTTTAGATGTATAAAGCTTTATATTTGCTGTCTGTGAATCGTGAATTTTTGTTTATTTTTTTGTGATTAAAATGATTACAAAATACTTAGAAGGAAAGGAATTTGTCAGTATATTTTATTGTAAGCTAGTGAGTCATGCATGACTTGGTCACCGACAAACCTAAAACCTAAAAATAGCAGCAGAATATTTTGTTTCGAAACATTTATTCTGAAACATTCTATTCTATTAGCATACAATATTCATAGTTATATATCAAATTACATGTAAATTGAGATTCTACATCACAAGTTTTAAATATTTATACAATTTTTCGTCAGATACAGCTTTATACATTTTAGGATTAAGGTCAGTTGTAACTTAAAGGCCAAAGAAGCTCAATTTGGGCTCGTAGTGGTCCATAAGCATCCAGTGTTACTTGTAGATTTTGTGTAACTTTAATGAACAATTCTGGTCAGGTTATGTAATACATGATTGTGTATTTACTATTTATTTGACTGAATAGCATAATAATTGTTTTGTTTGAGGAAATATCCTTTTATACTTTTATATTCAACATAGAAAAAATTTTGTTATTGAATAAAATAGAAACTGACGTTTTTACCCTATAAGGCTCTCACATGGGACTATGACAATAAAAAATGTCCTCATAGTAAACTTATTTTATGACCTTCTCTTAAACCATCGAGGATTGTCTGTGTGTAGGACTTTTTAAGTATATTTAAAAGGTTGATAGGAAAATTATGTGTTTAGTTTTCAGTAAATATCACTTTTTATGAGGATAATGTCAGACAATATTTCCATTTTAAATGCACAGTTGATATCAATTTAGCGCCAGTTTATTCCTCGGGGAGTTCCGAAAATAATGTCTGTTAAGGTTTAATGTCATTCCCTGTTAAATGCTAAAACAGTAGACAAATGGTAGACCTGCAGTTTTTTTTTTTTAATTTAAGAACTTTGTTCTGTTAATTTGTTAACGTTAATAGGATTAAAAGAAATGCTTAACAAAGGGAAAGGGGGTTAGGGCAGGGGATGGGGAAGGTGGGCTTGCTGAAGAGAGATGGGCATGTGGGAAACAACTTTAGGTAGACCAAGAAAGTAAGTAGGCATTGAATTATGAATAACCATTCTAATTATGACATTTAAGAAAAGTCAAAGAGGATATCAAATTTCAAAATATATATATGGTAAGTGTCAGTAAGTAATTAGCTAATTTTCTCTCAAGTCCAATCACTTTGTTAACAGTACAAAGTTTATGGTAAGTATGTGTGTATGTGTGCCAAAATATAATTAATGAAGCTTGTAAGCTTTCTGATTTCAAACTTAAAAGATAATCTTTCTTTCAAGTCTCAAAGCTGCATGCCTACAAATTAAAATCAAACTTTTCAAATGAAAAATGTACAAATACTTTAAGAAAAGTAAAAAGATTCAAGATTGAATCAAGGTCTTTCAAATAGTATTTATTTGAAAGACCCTGATTTAATTAATAATCAATTTACATGTTATTTTTGATTAATGTCTGCTTTTGCAGTATTTATCTCCAAGTTTTACTGCATGACTAATGGATTAAGGGTTATTTTTGCATATTTTGACCTCAATTTGAAAATTTACGTGGATTGTAAGTGCTGTTGCAATGTGTAAATTAAATATTTTCTTTGTTCATTTCATAAAATTTTACTTTTATATACATTTTCAAAATTTTCATGAAAACTAGCATGTGTATGCTTGGATGATTTTGATGCATCATCAACAATGCGAACCAGTTTGATTAAAGTTTAAACAGTTAAATACTTTGATCTGTTTATCTCATTCTGCAACAAAATATACACACCTAGTCCTTTAGTCACAGAGTACTCATAAATTTTATTAAATCTATATTTTGGCCACAAAGTTTAGAAAATGCAAATTTAAAAAAAAAAACAAAAAACTACATGTACTTCAATTCCATGACCAAAATGAAGTAATCAGTTTTATAACTGAGACCAGCTCTGATATTATGTCTGTGAAAATACAAAAGATGGAGAATGGTCTGCATGTGATTTACAATTTAATTTGTTTATTTCTATTATAAACAAACAATTCTCAATGGAAAACTTTGGTACTGTGATTCCACTAACTATTTTTAATTTCTATATTAAATTTCAAGGATGCACAGGAATCAGAAAAGAAAGAGGAAACAGAAGAAGAAACAGTTGACATTGACTTGAATGATCCTGAAACAGAAAAGGCAGCATTAAAGATTCAAGCAGGATTTAAGGGATTTCAAACACGAAAAGAAATACAAGCTAAAAAAGATGCTAAAAGTCAGGAAACTACAGAAACTACAGAGGAAAAAACAGAAGAAAAGAAAGAAGAGGAAGAAAAAGTTGACATTGATTTAAATGATCCAGAAGTGGAAAAAGCTGCTACAAAAATTCAGGCAGGTTTCAAAGGATTTAAAACCCGGCAAGAAATTAAATCGAAAAAAGAATCAGGCACTGATGTAAAGGAAGGTGAAGAGACTGAAAAAGCCGAGGAAAAAACGGAAGAAGCTAAGCCAGCTGATACTACTGAAGGTGAGGAAAAGATAGATATTGATTTAAATGATCCAGAGGTGGCTCATGCAGCTACTAAAATACAGGCAGGGTTTAAAGGTTTTAAAACTAGGCAAGAAATAAAATCGAAAAAGAGTGAACAAGAAGAGAAAAAAGATGGAGAATAAGGAATATATATGACTTAATTAATGTTTATACTAAACAATTTAAAGATATAAAAACTATATTATAGAATAGTAGAGCTAATATCTGTTTGCAGAAGATCATGTTTTAATTTATTGACACAAGAAAGATATAATTGTTGAAAATAATGGCATCATAAAAGCTGCTATCTGATATAATATCAGTTTTATATCATTCTAAAGACTTAAGTATTAAAAGTATATATTATATAAATGGTATTTGTCTCAATCATTTGATATAAAAAGAGAGACATTAATCTTAATTAACTGTATAACTTCCTGAACAGTTTTTTTTTTTGTAAGTGTTAATGAGTTTCCATTAATGTACAGGAAATATGGCTTTCCTTAGAAAGAAATATCTACTGATTAATTAGGTCTCACTCTTTGCTTGAAGTTATTCTAAGACATTGTAGGTTAATCAATAGGTTTGTCTCCTATACTTAACCAGAAGATTTTCTTAGCTTAAAACTCATTATGTATTTGCTAATTATAACTAAGTATGTACATTTAAGTGATAAAATATTTTCTGTACTATTAATTTGTTTAACTTTTCCTCACAGTTCACTTATAAGAAATGCCAGTGTTTCAGGTTAAAGTAGTTTTCAACACGATTTTTTTTATTAAAATCAGTTTTGAATAAATTTAGTTGAAACAGGGTCTTTCAGATAGAAAGACTCTGGTTAAAATCATTTTGTGATACAAATTTGAGTATTCATTTCAAAATTTCTATTATTTTTATTTTCAACAGGTTAACGAAAAACTGAAAAGGGTAGTATATAATAGTGTTTAAATGTGTACAAAAATTTGGTAACCTCACTGTTTCTTTTAAAGGGAATGTCAGTATTAATTAAATTAAAGTATGTTATTTCATTATAAGATTGGGTTAGGTGTTAATGGTTTGATCAGGCCACCAGTAGCCAGACCAGCCTGAATATCCGGGCAGCCGGACCAGGCTCGATACTCTTCGTATTATCTTGATATTGAAATCCCTAAAAGTGACAATGGACAGTAGGTCAAGTTCATTTCATAAATATAGTAGGTAAAGGACTTATTTTTACACCACAGCTCAACTCCTTAGAATAAAACTGACATTCCCTTTAAAACATTTGAAAGTGTGCTAGTCTAAAAATAGAATTAAATGAACCAGAAATTACTTCCGGTATTTGGTGCCAAAATTCATATATTTCAAACAAAACCTATTAGGTTAACTACATGTATAGTATTAAAATTGATGGACAATATCTCGATCAGAAAAGATTTTCTAACCAAAAAAAAACATTTTTAATTTATTTTTGGAACTTTATTAAAGAACGAAAGGTTTAAAATTTTATAGTATAATTTATTATATGGAAGATTCTGGTTTATTTATTTTGAATTGTTTATACAAATAAACAAATCGGTTGACCATCACTATTTTAGAAATTCTGGGAAATTATTAATTTATTATTAATATATTTTATTTATATGATAGTTATTATCATTTTTGTTATCATATTTTATTTATTTGTTTTAAAATATTTTTGGCAAATTCATTTAAAAAAAGACTATAATAACTATTTTCTTTTGTACGGAAGGCTGAACTTTTGAAAAGAAAAATATTAAAAAATAAAAAATCAAAATAATTTTGTTATCTTAGAACAAAGAACAAATTATAAAATTTAAACATTCTGGTGTTTTTTTTTGTTGTTGTTTGCTTAATCTGATTCAGTTGCATTATTTGTTGTTATTTTTTGTTGTTGATTCTTTTTTCTTATTCCAAATAGATATCTTTTTCTGTATGTTTAGAACCTTTTAAACCTCCTATTTCCAACTTACCTGTACGTCTCTTTAAGCAATATTACAAAATTTACAATTTAACTAGTTTATTTTTTCATTTTTAAAAAGTAGACGGTTGCACTATTTATGTACCAATGTAGAGAGTGTTTTGGTTGTATAGTCTTATGAGTAGAATTGAAAAAGGCGTTGTTTTTTTTCATTACATTATATTTATATTTTTACCGTTTGGGAAAGAAGGTTGTTTTTTTTAAATTTGAATAACAATTATCACTGGAGATTGAATTATAAAGGACTAATATCACTTGAAATAATGTTCTAATTTTCACCATTTATGATAAAATTTTGTGACTTGTACACATAGGGTCTTACAGGAGTTATTTCTCTTGTAGATGTATATTAAACAATTATGGTAAAGCAATGAGTAAATCCCTTAAACTGCTTGAACCGAAAATTATCAGCCCTTGCCACCAGTATAAAGCCAAGCCAGCCTGCATATCCATGCAGTATTACCAGACTCTATACTGTTGGCTAACAAACTTAAACTTTTCATCTGGTTGTCCCCAAATTTCATTATGGACAGTTCCAAAAGATGAAGCTGGACAAGTCCATTTTAGAAAAATTCAGCAGTTTAAGGGGTTATTGTAAGTATATTATAAAGAAATGGGGCTTTCTTTGACAATATATGTATAATACATTTTCGTGCTACTCAAAAGCCTCAAAACATCGAAAACTGGCATCTTTTTGTGATAAATCATCATTTTCAAAATGATGTTACCCATTTGATTTATAAATACAGGGTTTATATCATATTTGTGTACCAATAATATAAAGGAAGACATTATGTTTATATTACATTGAAAACATTATAACCCTCATGTGATATAAAAACAACAGTTTTACATTATAGGGAAAATACTCACCAAGTTTTCTGTAGAAGGAAATCTGTTTTATGTTTTGTAGTTGTTTAATGTGTCTGTGTGGAATAGAGCTTTATTGCGCAAACAAACATGCAATTTTGCAGAGTGTGCTAAAAATATGATTTGTTTAAAATGATTTGATTTGTATTATTATGATCAGTTTGTCTATAACATCATTCAGAAAAGTGCTTTTTCGATTATTTTGTTTAATTTTTTATTTTGTGTGGAACTGGTATTTATAATAGAGTTGATCAAATAAACAGTTGAGTCTCAACTCTATGATTAAAACAGATACTAATACCAATTTTGAGAACAGAACTTTTGTATATAGTAAAATGAATCAAAGAAAAAAATGTATGAATACATCACCTTATTGCAATAACCAGTTAACTCCTATAGAATTATATTAGGAGTTAACCTGTTACTGCACTAAGGTGACAATATGTCTTAAATAGTTTGTTTATATAACATTATAATGTTGGCAGTTTATAAAACTGTAGTTATTATATGTACATGTAACAAGTCCTGGTGGTTTATCAGTCGTAATTTTAGAGGATCAGAAAAAATGAAATGGAAAGACAATGTTATGTTGGTTCATCAGTGGCTTTAATTATTATATAGATGTGACTGTATATGTAATTATGATATTAGACAACTTTTAAAACATTAAACTAAAAACATTCATAATTTGGTGAATTTTTCTGCTGAATTTATGTAAATGGACGTGAAATTATTTTAATTTGGAACATTCCACTTGAGTATTTTGAAGGGAATTCAGAATTGATAAACTAGAATTTATCAGCCAGCAACAGTTATTATGACATGTTTTCATATTGGAGTGCACAAAATGTGCCGGCCAGCTTTACAAGCTATTTGGCAGCATTTCAGCAATTCATTATTGCAGCTAGTATTGAAAAGGGAGTTGTAGAAGAAATGATATTAAAACATTTCCATGAAGCAATCTTCTCCTTAACATTCCAATATCGCTCCATCAATACGTTTTTGTTTGCTCATCTAGGACAAATTCATCTCAAATAAAGAACTTTCTATGCATGTGAACAATAACATATTGATTATATATCAAAACTTGATTGTCTCGGATCAATATTATAAAATATGTCTTGTATATTTTGCTATATTGCTATCTTCAGTCCCAGATATTGAACAAAATAAATGTAACTTTACTAGAAGTGATTTAAGTATAGTCTGAGGATTTTCCCTTTTCTTGTATATAAGTAATTGAATAAAAGCCAGTAAATTTGATATTTTGGTAAAATTTAACTTCAGTACTGTATATTTCTGTTGAATGTAAAACCTTCAAGAAAATTGTTACAGTTTTTTTGATGAATCAATTTTAAAAGATTTTTGTGAAAAGTTCGTATTTGAAACATAATTATATTATCTGCTGGTATTTTAATCTAACCTCATGTTTTACATTGTAAAATCTAAACTGTTATCATGTTTAGAGGAAAGATTCCAAATATCTTCTACCATAGAAATAACAAATAGCTGTGGTTTCAGAACTTTAATCAATAATAAATTTAATTATTTTCCTATTTGTACATTTTCAATCTGTCAAATAGGTCAATCAATTTGTTGCAATGTTCTTCGTGTAAAAGGGCATGTTATTTTAAACACGGTGTACTCTATAGGGGATTTATTACTTATATTTGATAGATTAGAATTCCAAGTACCAGGGTTTTTTCCTTCTATAGCAGGGGCTCTAAAAAAAGGCATCTTCCTCCGAGGTAAATTCTTTAGAATCATGCAGTTTTCATTTACATCAAGTTTTTTGTCCCCTTTTGCAATGTGTTATTTTCCCCAAAGTTAAGGGAAGGGAACCTTCCTGTGAAAAAAAGCTTGCCTACTATACATGTACTATTGACTAGGAGAACTTGAAAACATCATTATGCAACTTTTGTTTTATTTATGCAGACAATATTTTTAAAGGAGAAGACTGTTGTTCCGAATTTTCCTTCAATTATCAATTTGTTAATGTTTTTGTATACAGAATACAGATACAGTTCAAATCTAACATACTAGTAATGATAAAGTTTTACCATTTTGCTATTGACCATGAAATGAATTTTATTCTTCAGGAAGAATAAGGCACTTCACATTATGTGAAGATAATAAATATCGGATCTTTTTATTTCTACTCATGATAATAATAATTTGTTTTCATCTTTGATAAATGTTCTTATTTATTTGATATATGTATGTATAATATGTCTGAAATTTTTACCTTTTTTATATGAATAATATTTATGTACATTACTGTTTTGTATAGTAATCAACTTTGCACCAACATTTTTTTTTCAATTTTGACACATTATTTATTAATATGATAGAACAGTTTTTGCATTTTTCTATGCAACTGTATTTGAATAAACAAATAACAAAATTTTGTTTGTCTGTGTTTTTTGTATGTGTAGTGTCTATGGCGGAAATTCTCCTGACTTAAGCTATTATAAATTTTGTTGTTACTCTGCAGTAACATATAGAAATATATAGGGATCACTTTTCCATCGTCTGTCTGTCGTCTGTTTGTTCATACATACATTTGAGTACTTGGATGGCTACATGAACAATAGGTAACTGTGCTTTTTCTTTGATGGCATTTATTCTTTAGGCTGTTATGTGGCTATGTTTTCTCTTATGTGGCTAAAAGAACAATAGAGTAGCCATGTAAGTATCCAAATGTTACTATGTCCTTTGCTTGGAGAACTAAAAAGAAAATTTGAGCCGCGCCATGACTCCACCAATATAGTGCGATTGCGACCAGCATGGATCCAGACCAGCCTTAACATCCGCGCAGTCTGATCAGGATCCATGCATTTTGCTATCAGTTTCTCTACTTGTTATAGGGTTTGTAAGCGTACAGCATGAATCCTGATCAGACTGCGCGGATGCCCAAGCTGGTCTGGATCAATGCTGGTCGCAAACGCACTATGTTGGTTTTGTCATGGCGTGGCTAAAATGTGTGTCAAGATCAACAAAAAGTTCTTCTCCTGACTGCTCTGTATCTGGCAGGAAATTATCCATATATAGTAAAAATATTCATAAATATGTTACACTTTTGTATGATAATAAAATTGATCACAATATGTTGGTTACAGACATCTCGGTATACTTGTCTGGTACAGACATCTCGGTATACTTGTCTGGTACAGACATTCTCGGTATACTTGTCTGGTACAGACATTCTCGGTATACTTGTCTGTTACAGACATCTCGGTATACTTGTCTGTTACAGACATCTCGGTATACTTGTCTGGTACAGACATCTCGGTATACTTGTCTGTTACAGACATCTCGGTATACTTGTCTGGTACAGACATTCTCGTATACTTGTCTGGTACAGACATCTCGGTATACTTGTCTGGTACAGACATCTCGGTAATACTTGTCTGGTACAGACATCTCGGTATACTTGTCTGGTACAGACATCTCGGTATACTTGTCTGGTACAGACATCTCGGTATACTTGTCTGGTACAGACATTCTCGGTATACTTGTCTGGTACAGACATTCTCGGTATACTTGTCTGGTACAGACATCTCGGTATACTTGTCTGGTACAGACATCTCGGTATACTTGTCTGGTACAGACATCTCGGTATACTTGTCTGGTACAGACATCTTGGTATACTTGTCTGGTACAGACATCTCGGTATACTTGTCTGGTACAGACATTCTCGGTATACTTGTCTGGTACAGACATCTCGGTATACTTGTCTGGTACAGACATCTTGGTATACTTGTCTGGTACAGACATCTCGGTATACTTGTCTGGTACAGACATTCTCGGTATACTTGTCTGGTACAGACATCTCGGTATACTTGTCTGGTACAGACATCTCGGTATACTTGTCTGGTACAGTCATTTTAATCACAATGTACATGTATCAACTCACAGCATTACAAATTTCCTGTAAATGTTATTGACAATTAATATATTATTATATTTTTGATATGTTACTGGCTAATTGGTGCAGAGCAGTTGTATAATGTTCTTTATTTTATACCAGTTGCAACAGTTTTGCACTAATCATTATAAATACATGTTTTGAGTTACCTCCCCTTTCCAGAATTTTGTTACTTATAACAACAAAAGTTTTCAGTGCTGTGTATGGTAGTTAAAAAAGTTGCCCCATAAATACTAGCCTTCAACTCTGTTGTTTTTTTGTTGTTATTTTTTTGTTGTTGTTTTTTTGGTTTCCTCCAGGCTCATTGATTCCAATTACCCAATTTAGTAATAGTGTTTGAAGATTGAATACCATTCAAGTTGGTGCTAGGTGGATCATGAGGGAGAATATCTGAGAAATGTAGAATTTTTCGTTATGTATCGTATAAAGACTTCATAAAACTGAGGTGCCATTTCCAACTATTTTTGTGTTCATAAGTTTATATAGATCCCCCTTCTCCGCCCATTTTCGGTCAAACCCCACATATATGCTAGGTCAAGTTTAGTTACTCTGTAACACCGTCCGGTTAGCTCAATAGGTAGAGCGTTGGACTGTGAATCGGGCGACCCGGGTTTGATTCCCGGACGGTGCAGGTAACTTTCGTTGTGATTGATCATGAAATCCCATCTACGGTCATTCGCACTGTACCTCTGCTCTTGCAATGTACAGAAGTTTCAGTTCCTTGCGAAAGAGAAGGCAACTATTACTGGTAAACTGCTTGACAGTCTGCCCAGGAACGATGCAAGTGGTTGAACTGTGCTCTGGTGAATTCAATGTGGCTTACTGTTGTGATCCGGAGTGAAAACTATCAACACCACCACCACCACCAGTTACTCTGTATAGCTTTCTAATAAAGAGATAACTTGCACACATATATATGTATAAAATTTTTATTCTTTTTATAAATACATGGCAGATTCATTTTGACACTCTATCTCACACAAATATATACATTTTCACTATATATTTACAGTTGACATAACTGGGAAGGAAAGAAATCTTAATACATTGTACATGCATTTATAGGATTTGATTCCTTTTAGGAATTTTAAATTACTGTTTGATTTCAAATAAAACATATTTTTTGCTATGTATAAAAATATAGTATCATAATGTTAACACAAAAGCAGGAAAATGGTTGAACCTCTAGTTATTACATCGTCAGCAAATGGTTTCTATCTTGGAAAAAGTCATATTTAAAGCATTTATCATTCTGAATTGCATATTTTTTTCTTGCCAGTGTCGGGTTTTTATAAGAGTATCTCTATATGAAAGTTGTTCTGCTTTTGTCTCAAAAGTATTTTACTAGACCAGGATCTTGTTAGGGGATGATCAAGTTTGATCTGGTCCCCAGGTTATAAAGCAAACTGTTAATTCCAAACTCAAATCTAAAGTTTCTGATTGGCCAGAAATCAGCATGTAATATTCACTGACCAATGAAAATCCTGGGATTGAAGACAGAGTTTAGAAAAATGTTTTATAACCTTGAGCCTTGCTGTTCTTGTAAAATTCACGAGAGTCATTTACAATTAACAGATCGCAATACTCTTACAAATACTTTTTATTATAATATACCTCCTAAAATTTAATTTGTATTTTTAATAAAAAAGCAAAATGTGTACAGATATATAAACACATGTATATAAAAGAAAAGACTGTTAAAATTAGAAGCCTCTAATTTCGTGCATCTGACCTAACAATGCCATTCTTTTGCTATTATATCTTTTACTTCTTTTTTTATGCATGTACTATATGGCAAGAATGATTTTATAAATTTCTTAAATTATAATATCTTACAGGGATAGGCCTACTATCAATAAATAAATATATTAAGAAGATATTGATACTGGTTAAGCCCTACTACACACTTATTAACAACAAAAAATTACAATTATTAACTGAAGAGAACATTTATTCGTTAAATTTGTACTTCTATACTTTAAACCTTATTTTGTTATACATCATTATGCTTTTGTAATTTGTGCATATTTTTCTAAAGGTTCATTTTCCTTGTTTATTTATTATAAACATACAATATGTGTTTGAAAATGTACCAGAGTTTTGTCCCCTTTTATAAGTAGTCCGTAATCCATTTACAAGAAAGATTCTGTACAATAAGTGAATAAATTAAAACCTTATATCCATATACTCAAACAAAAAAGCACATATCATAACAACAGGGTATGAAAACATAAAAGCACAAAATTCCACACACATAATATATATTTTATACATTATACAAACATAATATACCAAATGATTTTATGGATATTATAAAAAAAATACCTGTGAAAAATATGACAAAAATTAAAGACAAACATTGAAAAATATAATGAGCATTTATACTTTGATTATGCAAGTAAATCTTTTAATATTAGGGTCATTTGTTGCTGAAAAAACTATACATTACTACTATGTTTTTAAAACATATATGATTCTAAACTTAAAAATATACTGGACTCTAATTTGATACTACATAAAGAAGTTTTCTTGTAATAAAGCAGTTATTTGTTTAAAAAGCTATTGCCCCATGGTAAATTTAATTTTGAAAATTCCATAAAACTGCAAGTATTTTTTATAAACGATCTTGACTTTTATAAAAAAAATGTTAGCACAATTTTATGTTAAATAATTATCATCTGCACTGGTCACATGGATAAATCCAAATGCCACCAGAAGACTTTGGTTTAAAGACACACTACTGGAAATATGAGAGTAGAACTTTTTTATAATCACTAAATTAGCAATTTAAAGCTTATTACAAAGTAACTTATCTGATGACATAATTATGAAATTTAAATGCAGAGTGGAATAAGAAATCAAGGGACAATGGTGCTAAATAAAAAGGACTGGTAAATTTATATTATATGGCTCATCATATCTTGTCCTCCCTGCTCTTCCTTAAAAATAATAATTAAGATTTTTTGGAAAAAAGCTGAAAACCCCATGCTTTCCGTGGGTATCTGTCTGTAGCAAATATAATTCACCTAAATTAAGTGATGTTTAACAGTTTAAATGCTATTAATATTGTTTTGAAACATATTTTGTAAGACCAACTGTTTTAGTGTGTTTAGTTTTTATAATCATTAAACAAATGATTTAATGAAACAAAACATAGATATATTTTACCATATATATTGCACCATGTGTTTATCAGATTATTTGGTTGAGGTAAGAATTCTGAATTTATGATGCTAACAAAAAATATTTTAATATGGTGTACAAGTGAAAATTCCACACATAGTTGTATCAACACAGGGTCTTTCAATTCTATTCGAAAGACCCTGATTTGAGCATTTTTTTTTTGGAACTTCATTTCCCAATGCCAATTAGTATATAAAAAAAATGAATGATGTCAATGGATTTCAACAGATCATAAAAAAAGAACAAGGGAAGTAACCCTGATAAGATATTTATAACAGTATCAAAAGAGTTACTCTTCGTTTCAAGGATCGCACACTTACTATGCTCACGGCCTTTATAAATAGACGTTGATAATAATTATACAAAGAATCAACTTCTCAGAATTCTATCCTGTATTCAGATAACTACAAACTGTCGTCTGTTAAATTCGAAAAATCAAAAAATACATTTAAAAGAATCCCTCCTTTAATTTAGTAGTATTGTTTTCTATGGAACAAGTTAGCGTTTTGAGCAATAATCATAATTTCGAAAATAGTTTCTAATTATAAAAAGCTACAAAATTGTACAACATAAATTTTGACAATATTTATTGAAACAGAAAATTACCGAATCATAGCTATAATTAACTGTCATGTGCGGCCATGAATTTTATAATTAATTTGCTTAGAAGGAAAGTGACAAGTATTGTATATTTCAGTATATTGTTAAAATCAGAGATGCAATCTATAAACTGTAAACAAAGACAATCAATTGCTGAGCTAAAACACAGTAATTCACTCCAGATGATGGTGTTGACAACCGTTAATTTTTAAAAAATAAAATGGCCTAAGTGAAGAATGGAATAAGAAAGACAACTCTTCCTTATAAATAATGAATGGATTTTGCACAGTTATTTCCCTTCTATTGCTCTTCCCCTGAATCAAGTCGCTCTCGTGAAGTATAAATTGAAAATTGTCACTAGGCACGACAGTAAGATGGCACTGAACTGTAAAGAAGCATTATTTGCACTGCTTACTTCTGAAAAAGAAATAAGAAATAATAAAGAGATGTACGAAAATTGAAACCAGATGTGAACTAACGAGGCAATGATGAAATGAAGAAGGTGGGTTTTATTATAAAAAGCATTCTTGCATGTACATTGCAACATAAATGCAGAACATGTTTCTGGCATCATAAATAAAAACGTCTGGCAGCATGAGGAAAAATTCTCATAATTCTGCTTCCTTTAGAATTCCTAGAGATTTTAAGATTCATCTTAAACAAAGACGGGGGTTATGATACATATGTATACATACATATATTTGCGGCATAGCGAACATCAAATGCAGTCTGGCATTATCAAGAAGCGTCTTCTGTATAAAACATTGACAAAAAAAAACAAACTGCTTTTTTGTATAAAAACGTTTCAATTCAGAATAAATTATTTATAGTTCTTTACAAGAGCAAGACGCTGAATCCTAAGATGATTTTAAAGCCTAATTGATTCGTTTTAAAGCAGAGAAATCGGCAGAAATCAAGTAAATGATACCTCCGTTGAAGATCTTTATCTGCTATAATAATACATATGTAAATATAAAACCTCTGTATACGAATTCTCTTACAAAACAAATAAAACCCCCAAAAAACTATACAATAAGTTTCTGATACGCCTCGATACAGTCAAACCGTCCGATTAAGGTCACTGGATATTTGTAAATATCGGACAGTTGACTACTTTAAAGATGCATGAGTCAAAATATATCTTGAAAAAAAGGTACTAAGATCCCAAGAAAACTAAAAAGATTCAAGTGTACATGTTAGTGCGTTACTAACGCAGTGAGAGCTAGTTTTACATATTTTGACCTCTTTGGTAATGTGCATGGATTATAAGTAAGTGACTTTCTTTGTGTCCACTTTACCATATTACCTCTAAAAAACATTTCAAAATTTTCATCAAAATTAGCATAAATCTGGAGGCATGCTGCTTTTAAGAGAAATTTGTTTTGTCCATGAATTAGTTTTACATTTTCATAAAGCAATGTAGCTGAATATCAACCCTTTAGAAAAATATATAAATATAACACAGTCTTCCTACAAAACCCTCTTTGTAGGGGGCGGAGACAAGAAACAAAACCATTTTGTTGTGGCCAAAAAATTTCAATACAATCACATATGAATTAAGAAATTTAGAAATAAAGATGTTTTAAAACGGTTATTTTGCAATTACTTACATGTATAAACATTAAAAGGTAGCATTTTATAATTGTTATTATTTTTTTTATATGAAAGTGATTTTAGAACAAATTAACTGTAATTGCCATATATTTTTATATACATCGATGTGGAAAAGTAACTAGTTCCCGGTTCAAATGAAAACACCAAAAGCAACAACTTCCAAAGTATTTTCATGGACATTTGTTGTAGATAACATTTCAGTTTCTAAGTATATATGTATTTATGCTTAACGACGGTCCATCCTGCATTTCAATTTCTATGGACGTCAATAGTTTATATATATTCTAATGGTATGATCATGGTCATGCACATCTTAGTTTGACTGTACAAATAATATAATCTACATAGACAGATATGACAAAGTTAACACCAATGTTTCAAAGATAATAATATTTACCTGTAGTTATTGTTGCTTTGATTGTTGTCGGTGCCGCAGTCGATTGAGTTGTTGTTTCTTTTCCTGTAATGAATGTTACACTAATGATATTCACATCTGTTTACAGCAGGTTACAAGGAAAACAAAATTGATTACTGCTTCGTACCAACATATTTTCGTCTTTTTTACAACATGTTCAAGGTTCACAGTCGTTACATTCTATCAAATGTGATGCCAATGAACTTCTTATTTATGATATACCTTTTTGTATATTAAAAGAAAAGCATTTTCAAATGCTTTAAAAACGCATTTTTATGACATAGCATAGCAAAATATAACATACATTGTATGTATATACATAAAATTTTGATGAGTTGATCATTCAAACCATTTTATTTTACCAAACTCCTAATTTTATATAAAAAAATAATAATGCAAAAACGTATATATACAATTGATTTAAGCTTCAACTGCCATTGTAGTTTTTGTATTTCAAAATACATGAGCGATCAAAAGATTAAGAATGATTCTTCCCTTTTTTACGATAAATGACATTTAAGTCAGTGTTAGAATATCTTTGTTATTGCTTCATATTCAAGATAAACTTTGCAGTATCTGTTATCCTAAAACAGTTACTCTACTAACGTTATCATGTTATTTGAGCCCATTGCTTAAATTGTTGACATTTTTTTAATTTGTTAACATAAACTGATCCGCACGCAATACCGACAGACCATTTTAGATTAGCATGCTAATAGTACATTGCAGAAAAGAGTAAAATGTCGATTAAGTAATAATTATGCGCTTTTTAAATCAGCTTGCGTATCAAGATCGTTTTCCGACCCAATGCATTTTCTGATTGAGCTTTACAACGTTAAAAAGCTGATACCAGTGCATTGGCTTACAGATGAACCTTTCAAATCAATTATGATCGTTTCTACTTTAACGACCAATTAATCAGACCAAATATATCGATGGCTGTCGAGAAGAGTGCTTACCATATAATATTATCTTAACTTCATCTGCGTTTTGTGGTTTTCCGTCTTCCCCCACATCTAGTGTTGGAGAGCAGACGAAAACCGCCCCATCTAGCTCAGCAGACATCGTCAAGGTCAATGTACTCATGGCGGCTGTGTTGGAACAGTCCTCGGTTGACGTCAGTTCCTGTACAATGCCCTCCGTTACTTTCTGGTAAATGTGAGATGCATCGGGGAGTGTGTACCACCAACTGGATAGAATGTACGTAACATACATGTATAAATATAGTAACAGCTTTTCAGTGCGAAATTACAATAAAATGAAATACCACGTCTTCTTACAGAAAATCTAAAAAGGAAATATTACAGACTTTTGGTTCTAGCATCGGCTTGGTATGTTTTATTTTCATGTTTAGTCTTTAAAGTTGTTAAGTGATGGGCAAATTGTGAGGAACATTTGAAATTCAAAGAACTTAATGTATGAAATCTAAAAAAAATCGCCAACTTAGGCATACGCTGTATAAATGTTTGAAAGATACAGGATGATAAATGTGCAGTCTGACCGGGTCTACCGCGGCTCTAACGACTGACCTCTCTAACCGTTTACACATTTTCATACTTTATTCATAGACAGTTCTAAACGTCCAATGGGGAACCATCCGAACACCAACACGTGTTTTACCTTATTAGTCCCTCACACTTTATTGAAAGATAATAATTGCAAAGACTTAAGAGATATATCATTTCCCGGTCCCCCGTTGGGCGCTGAATTGCAAAGGGTGAGAAAAAAACGTGCAGCCTGACCGGGACTTGAACCCGGAACCCTTTTAACATCTATCCGCGACATAACAATTTTATACTGACAAGTGAGAATCAGATTTATTAAAAAAACGAAAACAAAGAGAAAACATTTGGAAATCGAAATAATGCACTCAAATTTAATACTAACTTGATGAAAGTGTTTTTAGTAATATGAGGTATAATTAGCTCAATCACGTGGTACAGCACGCTGTAATGACTGATATTACTGGTCGAATAATTACACGTGACACTAAGATCTGACATGTAATTGGCTTAAACCCAGACGTGCATAAATGTCTGAAATAATGTCTAGGAAGGAAAACAGATTTGTCAAACATACTATGCGTCTAGACAAAATAATTCTATCACTAAAATTGACACAAAGCTTCTACATGTATTTCACTATTTTCAGACTTAACAGATGAACTTGAATCCGGTCTTAAATGAAAGGGTCTATGAAGCTTCGGATAAAGGCGTGAAAATTCTATTTCTATGTTATTTTGATAAAAGGTCGTTTAACCAATTTTAATAATATTTGATTTTCCTTATTTTAAAGCTAAGTCAAACAGGGGCTGTTAATGTTACGGTCATATGGGTGTGGAAGAAGTCGCCGGTGTTCCCCTCGTGCACTTGGACCAATGTTAGAAGCTTCATGGGTCGAACCTATGAAACACTCCTGCAAGATTTTTAGGTAATTCCCTCATGTGCCAAATTAGCAGTGACCAGTATTTAAAATTACTTTGAGACATCCGATTAGCTCAATTCGTAGAGCGTTGGACTATGAATCCGGTGACCTGAGTTCGATTCCCGGATGGTGCAGGTCACTTTCCTCGTATTTGATCATGCAATCCTTTAGTCCAATAGTCATTCACATTGTACCTCTTCTTTTGTATAAACAGAAGTTATCAGTTCCTTGTGAAAGTGAAGGCAACTAGTATCTCTGGTAAATTCAATGCGGCTTACTGCCGTGATCCGGAGTGAAAAACTACCAAAGCCACCACCATTTACTTTGTGCTAGACAACTGTCAAACGCTCTGTCGATAAATACCCAAAATGACATATGTCGTGAAAAAAATCACAATTCTATCTTTTTATGAACGGAAATACGAGCAGATAAGGACTTTTCTTTTCACACAGTTTATGGGTCATGTTATCTTGATTTTTCATGTAAACTGAGACCGTTTCAATTTACTGTTTTTTTCACAAGAAATACTTACGAAATAGTACTTGCTGGTATTCCTACATTAGAATTACATTCTATTCTAAATGTGTCGTTTTCTTTTACTTCTATAGTATTGGTTGTAATTGACGGTTGTCCAGGATTTGCTGAAATACAAGAAAATTTATGGTGTTCAACCTAGCAAGACGTCAATGCTGGTACCTGCAAGATTCGCGCAAATATTATACTACCACATATAAAGAAGAATATTCATTTTAGGCATTTTACAAAAGAACTGTCTTAATTCGTATAATATCATTTTGTTATGTCATTTTGTTATGTCTCCCTAACCCCCCCCCCCCCCCAATTTTGTTTGGTAGATTTACTTGGGTATTTTTTTCCGGTTACGCCAGTGTGGATTAAAGGAGTCAATAGAACATCACCCCCTTGCCATGAACTTAAGATCAGGAGTGCGGTGCTCTACGCATACTCAACTCTTGATTCCTTTTGTCTGAGTAAACATGTTATTATCAACTCTTTACCATGTAAAATCGGATAAGTTAAATATATTGTATACATTTTATCAAAACACTTAACATTAGTGTACAAATCATTTTAACATCATTCACGTTACCTTTCATTTCTAGGTTTGACTCAGATACAATATTTGAACTGCTAGTCATTGTGAAGACATCACATGTATAAAGTCCAATATCAGAACATCTAAAGCCATCTATGATAAGGTCCAGTGAGTATTCCCCGTCCTTAATTGACTTATGTAATTCAACATGGTCCCTAAAATCTTCGGGCGCTCCCGGGGCCCAATTAGCGGAAAAAACATTGTTTTGAATATTTGCGAGGTTGATAACGGAGTCGTTGTATGTCCGCGTCCATCGTATGAACATCCATTCGCCCGTGCTGGTGGTGGTGAATTTACAGGGCAATGTGACACGGTGACCCTTAAACGCTGCAATACTCGCTCTCGTTTCTAGAATATCTTCACCTGGAAATGGAATAGTGAAAGAAATAGAATAAAGTTTACCATAAGCTGCTTTCTTATTATTCTATAGGGCATTTTCGTTAAATCTCGCCAGATCATATCTCAAACGACTATTTTAAAACTAGACATTGTGGTCAGTTTTCATGAAATTATAACCCAGCTGTAAAGCTCAGCTTCCTCAATTAGGTAAAGCAATAATGACAGTGGCTGTCTTTTCTTTGTCTCGCCAAATTAAGTGTGTATTATATAATCAATTTTATGTAATAATATATTAGATTCCTTACAAAATAATTTATAAGTATCTTGAATGCTTAATAATGATGATGATGATGATAATGGTGATGATGATGATAATGATGATAATATTGATAGTGATAATGATGATAGTGATAATGATGATGATATCTTTATTTAAAGATTACAAGAAATGAAGATATGTAACACAAAACAAATAACAAATTTCAAATGTGGCCTTCAGAACAATATAAAAACAACTTAATGACATAGTAACGATTAGGTTAATGTAGTAAAATAAAATATAATATTCATTGATCTGCAAGATATATTTTTATTTATTTTAAGAGTTCAGAGAATAATGGAATGGATATTGAATGGTACTGAATAACGATGCAGCATTGTAATTTACCATAATTTGTACAGTATTTGATACTGTAAGACACTTTTAATTCCCTATGGAATTATTTATAAAACGTTCTGAAAATCGTCACAGAAATAGGCATATAGAAGCTTAGCAAAAACTACAAAGGAATTGTCAATTGCCAACCATGAGACCATTACCTTAATTGATTTGTCACCATAAATTAGAGTTGTTAATAAAGTCATCTAGCTCTGATTCAGGTATCCAAAGATTAGATCTGTGAAGCCCGAGAGAAGCCGATTAAGCACGAACAATCACTTACAACTCGACTACTGAATCAGTTGACCCCGAAAATAAACCAGAGGTTAAACTGCCAATCGGAAATCGATTCTAATTGGTAATTGAGTGTTTTTCAATTTATTTTAGTAAAAAGGGCGACCCTTCGAGCATATCTGAAACACTTGAACCAGTGTCGTGACTTTCACAAAGTGGTAACATAACTTTTGTTCATGAATAATCCATGAAAATAACGCTGAGTGAGTTTTAAATTCCATTAGCTAACCCCAAAGGGTAAGGGATACCGAAGGGGACAAAGGGATTATATGCATACATGAATAAAGCCTGTAAAAGGTCCGTAATTAATGTAGCAGATATAATAGATTAGGCGACACTTGTTTGACAGTTCTGCTCCGTGCGAAGGCATTACAGGGTTACTGTAAATGCGCCAAAAGACGCTGCAATGTTAAGCGGATTATAAGATACCGTAATGTTGACAAAAATGTTCCAATGTGAAACGGATCGGTAATACAGTGTTACCTCACCTTACGGTCACCTCTCAACCAAAGCAACCTCCTAAGTCCTTACAACAGCAACTTTCAATTCCCCCGATAGTTTTTTACTGTATAATTTAACTCTCAACAACTGTCACCTCTCAACTCCTGCCAAAAGCCACTTATTATTACACACAAAAGAAAAAAAACTTTCTTGAGCGGCCAGCAGTTTTTTTGTATATGCTATATTAAAAGTGTAAGTTTCGTGTATCGGACACTCTCACTTTCAGCTACAATTTTGAAGAATTAATCAGTTCTAGTTTTCATGTTTTTACCAATTAGCGTTTTATTTGGCCTGAAACTTAAATAGAAAACGCCCCTACTTGCAACAAATGATAAAAGAACATGTGCAATTTTGATATAATGATCAATTACATTATTTTGTTCTTTGCATTGTCATTTCCTTAACTTAGTTTATTAGATATATGGTATCTTAATTTGGCAATTATCCGTTCAGATTGCGATTTTTTCTTAGTATTACCTTTTTCGATCCAAAATGTATCAACGATACTAGATGTAGCTTTATTTCAGTGCAATATTGTGAACATTTATTTATATAAATACGGTATTTCTTTCGTGCACGCATGCGCCAAGACAATCTGTTAAAAGTACTATTTATGGGTGGAAATTCAATCTGATAACTTAATAAACATAAATTTCTGTCATAATTAGACATGAGAAAATAGATCAAGAGATAGAACATTGCCTTAAGCTCGACAAGATAATAGATTATGCTGCGGTTTCTCCATAATCAAACAATGGAATACTATCTAATTGACTTGTTTTTTGTACAATTATATAGGGTTAACGCACGTTTTTCCGTGTTATAACGTCTGCAGAGTCCCGAGGAACGGTTGGTGCCCGAGCCCGGTAGGGCGAGGGCTCCAACAGTTCCGAGGGACTCTGCAGACTTTATAACACGAAATAAACGTGCGTTGACGCTATTATAGCATAAAATTTTCAAACAAATTCGTGATGTATAGTTTATACAAAACACAATTACATTAAATTCTTGTGCTTGGACGGTATTTATCCAATTCTATGTTTTACGTATCCGTTTCATTTTTCCGGGGCCAACAACTTAGAAAATTCTCGGAACCGAACGAAATTTTGAAATTTAATTGATTTAACAAAGCTTGGCCTTTGGAGATTTATTATCTCAAGAAAAAAATAAAACGTTACATTACTCTACCCTCTACCCAAGACAAAACATGACCCTCAGAAATTCTTAGAATGATTTCAGATTGACGGTAGAAAAAAGATCAGTGACATCAAAATTGTTTTTTTTTTCAAGCAAACAAGTTTATAAAAAAAATCAGGCACTAAGCATTATTCTCTCAAAGAAATATAATGAGCATTTATCAACATTAACATAAATAAAAAACATTTTCTCATATTAATTTTGTGTTATCTAGTTTTGTAAGTTAATCGGAGTGTTAAACTGAATGACAGGTAGATTCTACTGTATTTGTTTACATTGACAACTGTCCGTTTCTTAGAAAGGGCGACAACCAAGATTAGCACCGATGTCTATACGCCGTTTTTCCGGCATAGTTACTTGAATATACGACTGAGGCCCTCGAATCAATAAATTTCAATATAACAAGAGCGCATGACTCTTTGGCAAACAGGCCAAATCGTCATTTTTTGTTTGTTTGTTTACTGGGCCCTGTATTTATTGCGCATAGGTGAAACCGGGCTATAACAAGAGCGCGTGACTATGTTAACACATGGTTTTGGTCCCGTTATAACATGGGCAAAAGAGGGAAAAATAGCCGATTTTATGCTATAATATGGAAAATTGCTCATATGTACATAAAACAGTTAATGAAAATGCCATGGGTGAAAGCTTGATAACTAAACAGTCCTGAAAATCCTGCATTTATCCTTTTTGTTGTGAGTTTGTTGTGGTTGCAGATAATGATGCTTTTTGAGAGTTTAAAAGACCCGAAGTCATGTAATAATATCTGGTTAATTAAATGTGCACATGTTCACGTACTAGTATTTGATCAGTCTCTTAATAATTAACGTACCTTTAGGGTTTAAATATTTTACTTTGTTCATTTTATTCTCATATAAAAAACTCCGAAAATGAAACTTACACTCTTTGTACTGTTTGGTTCCAGGAACGGATTCAAGAGTGTGCTTTTGTACACAATTGAACAAAAAATTAATTCTGTATAAACTAAAATAAAATTCGATGACTCATTAATCTATATAAGGAATAATTGTGTTTCTATAGCAACGGAATAAAGCCACTTATCTCTTCTCCATTTCTTTAAAAGTCATCAATTCGAAATCAATATAAAGGTTAAATTTTTGAAAAAATCAAATTAAAGCTGCAGAAAAAATGGCTATTAACGAAGTCAGACATTTTCTTTATTAATTCAAAAGGTTTTGTATGTATCAGTAATGATCATTTTATTCCCTCGATCATTTATCATGGCGATCTAAGCTCGCAGCTATTTCAACGAACAAAAGAAATGTCATTAGCACGGATCTGCCATATGCTAGCAAGATCAGGATATTTTTTGATCATTTGGCATGTTAATGCAGACATTTTAAAAGTTTAATATGATTCCCCCCCCCCCCGAATAAACAACAGCTATAATACAGTGACAATGCATGCAGCCGGAAGTAAAAAAACAAACACGAAGTTTTCATAAATCTTAATATTTACGAGTCTCGTTTGGAGAGGAGAGTGAAATTTCTTATTAATAATGTATATGGAAACGGCGGCGTTTCATGTTGCCAAGCAACAAGTAAGCGACAGTGCCTCTATTAGACAATTAACAGTAGAGATTGTCATTTTCAAGAGAAATGACACAAAATATGGCGAACATTTTTCCTACCTCATAAAAATAAAACAGAAATTTTATATCTCAGATGACGAAGAAAAAAAGTACCATCAATATTTTGTTATTCTGTATTTTAAGTCACATTTTTGTTTCAGTTATTATAGATTTAGTAGGCTGTGGTAAGAGAATATTATGAACTTCAAAGACTAAACAGGAGGAAATTAAACTGTATGACTAGTAATCTTCATTTTCACAAGATTTATACATCATATCATGTGATAGAATCAGTAAAGAAAAATAGTAAAAATGACAAGCCCAACATAATAAAAGTAATTTAATATATCATAAATGAATATAAATAACTTCAAAATACATCAAAACATATTTCAAGTGTTACAAATTCGAACATTTTTCATGAACCAATGCATCCTAACGATGTATTTTGATGGTTAAATTAGACATAAGTAAACAGATCGGTCAATAAAATAATTTGAAAATTGTCTCTAATAGACTGATTGGACACAGTTCATTAAGATTAAAGAAAAGTGCACCGCCCCTCGATCCCCAACATTTTCATGACCTGACTGACCCTAAAATCTGACCAGGAACGGCTCGGGTTATATTGCAAACAACCGTTGATATATGGTTATATAACCTGTCAGGTATAATTATAATGAATTTATATTACCACAAACTTCATTTTTAGAGAAGAAAATGAGATTTGTCATAAATTGACAGTAGCCATGTCTATTATTAGTTATAAAGGTTTTTGACAGG